GGTGCTTTGGCGGCCGTGAAGGGAGCGGGCAGCACACAGCAAGACAGCAAAATCTGCAACTGCAAGGCCAGTTCAAGCCGTGACCCTGCGCATGTTGATGTACCAAGTCCATGCTCGGTGAGGGCTTAATAGGGTAGTTGCTTGTAAACTGTAGGTAAATAGAATCCCAGGTGAACCCTGAAACCCAAACCCTAAACCCTAAAATTTAAACCCTAAACCCCAAACCCCAAACCCTAAACCCTCAACCCTCAACCCTCAACCCTAAGCCCTAAGCCCTAAACCCTAAACCCTAAACCCGAACCCCTAAACCCTAAACCCTAAACCTTGAGCCGTGGAACCCTGGAACCCTGAACCCTAAGCCCTGAACCCGTGGTCGATGCCAGAGGCCCGACCCACCAGATCCTCCGCTAACCTTAAACCCTAAACCCTAAACCCTAAACCCTAAACCCTAAACTCCCAGGCCCGACCCACCAGATCTTCCGAGCTGGCTGGGGCTCTCGAGCAGCTCGATTCAGTGAGGCTGCGGCCCCTTTTGCATCTCCGGTGTGGCCTGCAAGGTCCTCATGAAGCATGTTTAGGGTTTAGGGTTTAGGGTTTAGGGTTTAGGGTTTCGGGTTTAGGGTTTAGGGTTTAGGGTTTAGGGTTTAGGGTTTAAGTTTAGGGTTTGAGGGATACGCATTTCTATCATGAACTCTGTTGTAGGAAGTGTGTTTCAGTTCTAAACCCTTTAGTCCGAACGAGTAACCGTAGCCCTGGCCAGGACCACTTCCGTGTAGATGAAATAGGGTTTATAGGGTTTACAGGGTTTACGGTTAAGGGTTTATAGGGTATACAGGGTTTACGGTTAAGGGTTCATCGATGGTTTAAACCCTAAACCCTAAACCCTAAACCCTAAACCCTGAACCCTGAACCCTGAACCCTGAACCCTGAACCCTGAACCCTGAACCCTAAACCCTAAACCCTAAACCCTAAACCCTAAACCCTAACCCTAAACCCTAAACCCTAAACCCTAACCCTAAACCCTAGAGTCGCTTCTGTCAGGCAAAATCTCTGCGCCAGCCCAGTGCATACCTCCGGACTTGCCCCGGAGGTGCCCACACTTGGGGTTTAGGAGTTTAGGAGTTTAGGAGTTTAGGGTTTAGGGTTTAGGGTTTAGGGTTTAGGGTTTAGGGTTTAGGGTTTAGGGTTTAGGGTTTAGGGTGCATGAACTCCAGGCCGCTCCGACATCAACCTAAAAGCCTTGGTTTAAGGATTAGAGGGTAGTTTCATGTTCCCTTAGTACTTGGAGGTTCATGGTACTTAGTAAGTATTATAACTGTACTTATGACTGGCTTATAAGTGGGTTATAAGTACAGTTATAATTAGTTACTAAGTACCCTGAACCTCCAAGTATGGGCCCTCAAAAGGGGACTTCTTGTGTAGCCGTATATTCCCTGTACAGCCCAAGGGCCCAGACTTCAGACAGGAGGTAATTCGTGGTCACAGCGTTTCAAGATAGTTGAAACCCTAAACCCTAAACCCTAAACCCTAAACCCCAAACCCTAAACCCTAGCGGACATGCATGAGTGCCCTGAGGCTCGATTGCCCCTCAGGCCCATGAGATCCCTCTCAGGGAATTCAGCGAAGGGTTTCAGGTGGTGGGTTTGTTAGGGTTTAGGGTTTAGGGTTTAGGGTTTAGGGTTTAGGGTTTAGGGTTTAGGGTTTAGGGTCTAGGGTATAGGGTTTAGGGTTTAGGGTTTAGGGTTTAGAGCTTAGGGTTTAGGGTTTAGGGTTTAGAGCTTAGGGCTTTAGAGAAGTTTAGGGTTTTGAGATGTTTGTGTGTTTAGGGTTTTGCGTTTTGGGATTTCAGGTTTTTGGTTCTGGGGTCTAGGGTTCAGGGTTTAGGGTTTGAGGTTTGGGGTTTTGGATATTAGGGCTTCTTGGGTTTTGTTTTTTTGTTTTTTGTGTTGTAAGGTTCTAGGGCCCTAGGGTATACCTAACCTTCCTAAACCCCGCGGGAAGGCAGAAGAATCCTGAGGATCGTGGGAGGGCCTGTGGAGCCTTGTGACAGGGTTTAGGGTTTAGGGTTTAGGGTTTAGGGTTTAGGGTTTAGGGTTTAGGGTTTAGGGTGTAGGGTGTAGGGTGTAGGGTGTAGGGTGTAGGGTTTAGGGTTTAGGGTTCAGGGCCCACCCCACACCTCATAGAACTATTCTTTTGAACTACTCTTAAGATTCATTGTCCATGGGCAAATTTTCGTCCCACACACATGGACAACGAAATCCTTGAAGCATGGAGCTACATCTCCGGAAAGGAAAATGCCCCTGCCAAGGTTTTCATGTAGCTGCCGCGAACCCTAAACCCGAAACCCTAAACCAGAAACCCTAAACCCTAAACCCTAAACCCCAACTCTTTTATTCACCAGGTGGCCGCCCTGCATGGAAGGCCCGTATCCCAGATTCTCCAGCTTGCAGACTTGCGCCGCAGCCCTGAACCCTAAAGCCTCTAAAGCCAAAGGCTGGGATGCTCCCCCTTATACTAGCAGTTCTATAATGATAGGTTTAGGGTTTAGGGTTTAGGGTTTAGGGTTTAGGGTTTAGGGTTTAGGGTTTAGGGTTTAGGGTTTTAACGTATAATGCGTATGAAGGCCTGTTAGTATAAGGGGGAGCATCCCAAGCCCAAAGCCTAAACGTTGACAGAGATCTCCATGACCTGCGCTTGTATTGGGAGACGAGAGCGCGACACAAACCATCCTGGGTTTAGGGTTTAGGATTTTGGGTTTAGGGTTTAGGGTTTAGGGCTTAGTGTGGGTTTAGGCTGTCATAACGCGCAATCTAGGGGGACGTTCAGAATATTCGCCGTGTTTACAGAGGTTCTGACTGAGTTTAAGCTTTTGGGCCTCTAAACCCTAAACCCTAAAACCCTAAAACCCTAAGCCCTAAGCCCTAAGCCCTAAACCCTAGACCCTAACAAACCCACCACCTGAAACCCTTCCTAAACCCTAAAACCCTAAGCCCTAAGCCCTAAACCCTAAACCCTAAACCCTAAGCCCACCTGCCTCCGGCTGGCCAAGGCTAACGGCCATCCGCGCGGAGGTTGCAAGAGTGATCCAGGACCCTACAGCACCAGAGCAGTTCCTGCTAGGGTTTAGGGTTTAGGGTTTAGGGTTTAGGGTTTAGGGTTTAGGGTTTAGGGTTTAGGGCTTCAGGGGAAAACAAAAAAAGAGGAAATATTCTTCCTTACAAGGGTAATGCAGGGCAGGGTGTATTGTCTTTGATTTTGGGGGGGAGGTTTCTTAAGCAAATGGTAGGTTTGGGAACGGGTTGTCCGAGTCCGGGTGATGTGCAGGCCCAGCGGTACCCTTTTCCTTAGGGTTTAGGGTTTAGGGTTTAGGGTTTAGGGTTTAGGGTTTAGGGTTTAGGGTTTAGGGTTTAGGGTTGGGCTCTTTGGACATTTTAAACTTTCCCTTATGGGTTTTAGAGGATCATATTCAGGAATTTTAAGCGCCATCTTAGCGGATAAAGTAACCATCCAAAAACAGGGTACCCTTAGCATAGGATGGTTACTGGGCTACCAAGGAATGGAAAGTGGTGAGCATTTGGTAGATGGCTCTTCGCCTGTGCTTCGATTAATGCCAGAGGTCTCCCAGAAGTTGCTTAGGGTGCAGGGTTTAAGGGTTCATGGGTTCAAGGGTTTAAGGATAAACCTTAAACCCGAAACCCTAAACCCTGAACCCTGAACCCTAAACCCTAAACCAAGGGTCCAGGGTTCCAGGGTGTCATTGAACTTTTAGCCCTCGAGAGCCCCTGCAGGAGTCGCAAGACTGCGAAACCTCGGCTGAACCCATGCTACAGGCGATGCTTTAAACATCTAGGACCCAGAGTAGGGCCCTTATTCGTAGGGTTTAGGGTTTAGGGCTTAGGGCTTAGGGTTTAGGGCTAGGACCCAGAGTAGGCCCTTATTCACTTTTTTCTAGGGTTTGGGTTCCCTCAGAAATCCCTTAAACCCAACGGGCACCCTTGTTATTCCTAGGCTACTCTTGTGTCTGGACATATTGTTGAGGGTTTACAGGGTTTTGAGTGTGGGTCTGGCGGGAAATCCGAAGTTAACCCCACACCCTAAACCCTGAACCCTAAACCCTGAACCCTCGCCTTCACCCTGGGTGCTGCAATTAGTTGCAGTTTGGGATGTTCCCCCTTTTTCTAAGAGAACTGAGGGCTTATAGGGTTTAGGGTTTAGGGTTTAGGTATTGGGGTTTAGGGTTTAGGGTTTAGGGTTTAGGGTTTAGGGTTTAGGGTTCCGTAATAGGGATTCGAAAGGGGGTGCTTTTATCCCTCTTAAGGATTGTTAGTATAAGGGGGAACATCCCAAGTTATGGTTTTTGTTACTGCTAGGCCCTATAAGGAGGAGTGTTTAGTTTCGCGGGGATGCTGAGAAGGGCTTTTTTGGGCTTGAAGGGTTCCGGGTTTAGGGTTTATTTCGCGGCCGTTCAGGAGTTTAGGGTTTGTAGGCGGGATCAGAGTATATTTTCGAGACCTGTTCACATGATTTCCGCACTATTTCTTGGATTCGGAACCGAATTGAATAAACTGCATTGGAGCTCCACATGCCAGGGTCCTTTTTTGTCGAAGGGCTTTGTTGATGTAGGGTTTCAGCGTTGTGAAAGCTGTTAAGTGCGTCGTGATTTATATTCTTGGTGGTCTCTTTAAGTAGGGCTTCTGTTTTGTAGGGGGGGTTCTTACTAGGGTATCTAAGGGCTATGTTAAGGTATAAGGGCAACAGATAGAGAGTCCACCGGACTTATATATGTCATGTTGGTCTTGTTTTCTTTGTGGAATGTGAAGCCGTTCTGAGTGCACCCGTACGAGATCCTAAACCCTAAGCCCTGAACCCCTAAACCCTAAACCCTAAACCCTAAACCCTAAACCCTGAACCCTGAACCCTGAACCCTGAACCCTCTGCAGCCTGGAGGGACTCAGTCTTCGGTCATGCTTCGTGTAGCCCACTCCCTGTCACGCCGCGGCATGGTGAGCCACGGTACTCTGGGAGCCTTGCGCAGCCTGGGGCTGGAGGTTCCCTGAACCTCGAAATGAACCCTGAAATTGCGGGGTCGCATACCCTGTACTACTTCTTGGCTTTCTTCTGGCTGGTTCTTAGGACTTTAACTTTTTTGGTTTTTGTAGAAACTACAATAAGGAGCCCTTTGAGCAAGGAAAGAACCCGAAAATGGGGGTTGCATATACCCTAGACTGCCTATTACTCCTAGTAAGGTATGTGAAGCCTAAGCCCTAAAGCCCTGAACCCCTAAACCCTAAACCCTAAACCCTAAACCCTGTAAGCCCTAAACCCTTTGAGGGTTCATTTGGTCCTCCACCAGGTTGCGCAGTCGAGTCCTTGCGTGCTCTGCGGGCCAAAGGCGCCGCGACTGCGGGGGCTCTGCACATCGCCCCGGCGAGGCGCCGAAGATCGTGGAAGCGCCCCCCCTGAGCGACTTGCCCTAAACCCTAAACCCTAAACCCTAAACCCTAAACCCTAAACCCTAAACCCTAAACCCTGAACCCTGAACCCTGAACCCTAAAGTGCTGAACCTTGTCACATACTTGTCTTGCACTTGGGAGAAACTGGCTGCGGGGCCGAGGCTTTCCTGACGTAAAATGTAGGGTTCTTAAGGGAGGGGGTTCAGGGTTTAGGGTTTAGGGTTTAGGCTTTAGGTAAGCCAAGGTTCCCTAACACTCCGCACTACTTCCTAAGGCTCCCTAAGGTTCGCACCCCCCATGAACCCTAAACCCTAAACCCTAAACCCTAAACCCTAAACCCTAAACCCTAAACCCTAAACCCCCTTCCCTTAAGAACCGTACAAGTAAAGGGTAGCCAAGGAAGAACCTTATAAGTAAAGGGTAGCCAAGGTCTCCTCCATCGCTGCAGACACCGGCTACTCTCTTCTTGGAAAGCCTGTCGGTGACTTTCCAGCAGCTCGGTAGGTTGTTGGGATGTTTTGGTTTAGGGTTTAGGGTTTAGGGTTTAGGGTTTAAAGTTTAGGGTTTAGGGTTTAGGGTTTCGGGAAATTCTTCTTCAGTGGGATTTAGAAGGGCCATCCTAGGCAGCACGCTGTGTCCAAGGAGGACATGCGCGAGGGAGAGTCGGTGACACAGTCCTTTGCAAGGCGGGGAGTCCTAAACCCTGAACCCTAAACCCTAAACCCTAAACCCTAAACCCTAAACCCTAAACCCTAAACCCTAAACCCTAAACCCTAAACCCCCTAAGTCTTTCGCAAGGCAGGTAGGGCTCCAGGACGACTCGTCGATGGTCAAGACCATGGTGTTTGACATCGACACTTAGCAGCTGAATGAATATATCTCTTTTTGTACATTTTATACAGGACATAGGGTTTAGGGTTTGGGGTTTAGGGTTTAGGGTTTAGGGTTTAGGGTTATGCCACATGATCAAGATACTCCTTACACTTTTTGGGCCTATGAACTCAGCAACGAAGGACAAGGGTGCCGCGCAGGAGCCTATCTTTGTGTTGCAGCATGGGAACAAGAAGGTCGACACGAAGCGCTTGGCTGCTGCTGCGGGCGTCAAGCGTGACCACGTGAAGCCCACGAAGCCCGAGCGCGCGACGGCTTTCACAGGTTATGTGTTTGGTGGCACGACGGTGTTCGGCAGCAACACGCAGCTGAAGACCTATGTAGAGACGTCGATATTTAACCTGGAGACTGTCTATGTTAACGGTGGCAGCACCAGCTTGTGCCTTTCCATGAGCAGCGCCGACTTCGAGCGCGCCTTGGGCTGCCTGGTCGCATGGAATCACAGGTGGCCCCCAGACTTTTGCTACATTGGGGTTTACGATCTTTGTGGTACCTTACTTGGAGGTACAGGGTACTTGTAAACCCCAATTGTGGCTGTACTTAAGTCCCCCAAGTAGGTAAGAAGTAGACTAATTGGGTTATGTGTACCCATGAAACTCCAAGTAGTGGGGTCCTTGTTAGACGGAGATCCTATTGCTTTGGGGGTCTATATTAGGATCCTACTATTTTGGGTGTCTAGATTAGGGGGTCCCTTATTATCGTAACCCCCCAATAGTGGTTCAGACCTTAGCAGCCTAGATTTTTCTGTAAAGCGAATAAGCCCTATATGTGTATGTCTATATATATATATACATATACAAATAAATAAATACGAAATAAATATATAAAAGAATAAATAAATAAATACATATATATATATACATACACACACATCGGCAAATATAAACGTATAAAAAATGATACAGTTAAATATAAGTAAATATAATCAGGTGAATGCACAAGGGTGGAAGTGGCTGGCGGCTGACAACCGCTGCTAGCGTGCCTGATCTGATGGACTCGACGACTGCCCAAAAGACGGCACTGAGTCGGGTTAGGGATTGGGCTTAGGGGTTTAGGGTTTAGGATTTTTAGGGTTTGGGCCTTAGGGTTTAGGGAACCTTTAGGGGGGGGGGGGGGGGCTTTGGGTCATAGGGCTTGCAAGGCTTATGGGATCTATAGGATCCGTAGGGTTTATAGGGCTTCATAGCCAGCATTTGTGGCGTTTCTTGGGCGGGTTCGAGTTTTGTCCAGATATTGAGACCCCCCCCACCCCCCTCAAAGAATACTTGGTACCGCCACATGACGAAGCCCGAAACTGCAAAACTGCCAAAGCATACTTCGGAAGCCCCCCGAAGCAGCTCGTAATGTGGTCTGGGGCTGGTGAAATCAAATTTGTGTGTGTGTGTGTGTGTGTGTTTCTCAGGCAGGTTCAAGTTAAGTGGCCGATCCTCTGCATCTGCAGCAGGTGCACAACAAGAGGCATCATGCTGCGATCCTGTAAAACGCCTCTCTCTGCCCAAAGCTTCCAACCCTAAACCCTAAACCCTCAACCCTACAAACCCCAAACCCTTGGACCCTGAAGATGCCAGTGGTTAGACCCTGCAACCTCGCCCCGGGCGCTTCCCCCTCCCCCCTTTCTAGGGATGGTTCTCTGGGGTGGTTGCTTTCCTAGGACCTATAAACCCTAAGCCCTCAGCCCTAAACCCCAAACCCCAAACCCCAAACCCCAAACCCCAAACCCTAAACCCTAAACCCTAAACCCTATACCCTATACCCTATACCCTATACCCTATACCCTAAACCCTAGACCCGAACCCTCAACCCTCCTTCGTCAGACTCAACTGCGGGTCCTCCTCTCTGAGCTCAGCGACGCACCTCAGACGCAGACGTGTTGTTCGGGTGTGTGGGTTAGGGTTTAGGGTTTAGGGTTTGGGGTTTGGGGTTTAGGGTTTAGGGTTTAGGGTGTAGGGTGTAGGGTTTAGGGTTTTAGGGTTTTAGGGTTTTAGGGTTTAGGGTGTAGGGTTTAGGGTTTAGGGTTTAGGGTTTAGGGTTTGGGCGGCTCATGAGAGCTTACTAAAAAATGGACCCCGAATATACACCCCCCAAATAGTAGGATTCTGTTATACAAAGGACCCCAATATTTTGTAATTGCTGTGTTTTTGTCTGTGGTGCTGAATTTCGGGTTTGCGGATGTCTTGCGTAGCCATCACTGTGGCCAGCGGTCAGTGACAGGGCGCCTTAGGAGGGCGAAACTCCCAAACTTGAAATCTCAAGCACCAACCTATAACTCCCTCAGAGCCCAAAGCTAGAAATCCTCAACCTTCAAGTTGTGAGAGGGTTTTGGGTTTAGGGTTTAGGGTTTAGGGTTTAGGGGTTTTAACCAGGTTGTGAGCCCTTAAACCCTAATCCCCTAATTTTGAAATCTCTACCTTATGGCCCCTGTCTGGATACCGAATTTTCGGGGCCGTAGTATCATAGGGATCCAAAAGAAGGCTACCCGAAACCCTAAACCCTAGCCCTAAACCCTAAACCCTAAACCATAAACCCTAAACCCTAAACCTTAAACCCTAAACCCTACCACCCCCCCTAAACCCTAAACCCTAAACCCTAAACCCTAAACCCTAAACCCTAAACCCTAAACCCTAAACCCTAAACCCTAAACCCTAAACCCTAAACCCTAAACCCTAAACCCTAAACCCTAAACCTAAACCCTAAACCCTAACCCTAAGCCCATAAAACCCTTAAACCTAAAACCCGAAACCTAAAACCTAAACCTACCACCCTAAACCCTAAACCCTAAACCCTAAACCCTAAACCCTAAACCCTAAACCTTAAACCCTAAACCCTAAACCATAAACACTAAACCCTAAACCCTAAACCCTAAACCCTAAACCCTAAACCCTAAACCCTAAACCCTAAACCCTAAACCCTAAACCCTAAACCCTAAACCCTAAACCCTAAACCCTAAACCCTAAACCCTAAACCCTAAACCAGCACCCGCTCCCAGCCCCTGAGGTGCGCTGTGCAGCTGCCTCGGTGGCACAGGCAGCCGCGGGAGGCCAGTGGGGTTTAGGGTTTAGGGTTTAGGGTTTAGGGTTTAGGGTTTAGGGTTTAGGGTTTAGGGTTTAGGGTTTAGGGCTTAGAGTTTAGGGTTTAGGGTTTGGGGTTTACGGTTTCGGGTTTAGGGTTTTAGGGTTTAGGGTTTAGGGCTGACAAGGGCTTATAAGGGCTTAGGGTTTAGGGTTTTAGGCGTTTAGGATTTAGGGTCTAGGGTTTAGGGTCCAGGGTTTAGGGTTTAGGGTTTAGGTTTAGGGTCTTAGGGGCTCAGGGTTTCAGGGGCTTAGGGGTCTGGGGGTATGGGGGTATAGGGTTTAGGGTTGAGGGCTTTTGGGGCTTGGGGTTTAGGGGCTTCAAGGGTTTTGGTGGAGGGGGGGGGGGGGGGGGGGTGTTTGGGAGTGCTGGGTGTTTAAGTGGTTTGGGGGGGAATGCTTGGTCTGTTCCCCCCCAAAACCCTAGGCCCTGAGCGGCTTCGAAGTCTGGCTTCGGAGGGTGCCACTCTTAGGTCGAAAACGATCCGGCTGGAACACCTGAGACCCTCTGAGACACTTTTTCCTAGGAGGCCCACAGTTTTTATTTCACTCCTCTTTTGCCCCTACAGGATTACATCGCCAAATGCATTTATTGAAACAAGTTCGGAAACCCCCATAGCATGTAGCTCCTAGTCTGACCGTCGAGGTCTAGACACTCCTTGCCCCCAGCCACTCTAAACCCTAAACCCTGAAGCCTGAACCCTAAACCCTGAACCGTGAACCCTAAAACTTAAAGCCTAAACCCTGAACCCTAAACCCTAAACCCTGACCCCTAAACCCTAAACCCTAAACCCGAAACCAAAGGCTTCCCACCGCGGCAGAGCTCAATGCCATGGCCGAGGTGGCAAGCAGAGCCGGTCGCGGAGGCGGCGCTCACTTGTTCGTTTGGGGTTTAGGGTTTAGGGTTTAGGGTTTAGGGTTTAGGGGTTAGGGGTTAGGGGTTAGGGGTTTAGGGTTTAGGGTTTAGGGTTTAGGGTTTAGGGGTTTAGGGTTTAGGGTTTAGGGTTTAGGGTTTAGGGTTTAGGGTTTAGGGCCTATGGGGTACCTCAAGAACCCCAGAAGCTACTGAGTTTTTGGCAGGCTCTCATTCAAGAATTCTAAAACCCCTTAATGGGATTCTAGGTATCCTACAAAAGATGCGTAGCTTTTCTGGGGGGCATTATTGAGGCTGGGGTTTCGGGTGTAGGCGTCCCTACAAGCCCTGAACCCTAGACCCTAAACCCTAAGCCCTAAACCCCAAACCCTAAACCCTAAACCCCAAACCCTAAACCCTCAATCCTAATCCCTAAACCCTATAAACCCTAAGACTTATGGAGTTCCGGGTCCCTTGTTCAACCACGTTGCGCCGACGGAGGGATCGCCCCCGTTGATTTTGAGTTCTCCCTTGGGGAAGCCGAGGGTGCATTTGGGGTTTAGGGTTTTGGGTTTAGGGCATAGGGCTTATCAGGTTGATTTGTTTAGGGTTTAGGGTTTGTGGTTTAGGGTTTAGGATTTGGGGGCTAGGGTGTAGGGTTTAGGGTTTGGGGTTTAGGGCCGCCCTGACCCCCCTCCCCCCGTCCGTAGAGAGAGAAAAACCTGTCATCCTCCAGGTGGGCACTGCGCCCGCACCCAACGCCGCCCCAGAGCTGCGAGCTACAGGTGGGTGGTTGTCAAAACCCTAAACCCTGAACCCTGAACCCTGAACCGTAAACCCTAAACCCCCACCTAGGTGGGTCATAGGGTGTTGGTGTGTGCTAGGGTTTAGGGTTTGGGGTTGAGGGTTTTCAGGGTTTATAGGGTTTATAGGGTTTATGGGGTTTATGGGGTTTATGGAGTTTATGGGTTGATGGGGTTGATAGGGTTTATGGGGTTTATAGAGTTTACGGGGTTCATAGGGTTTCGGGTTAGGGTATAAGCTTAGGGTTTAGGGTTCTGGGTTCTAGGATTCGCGGTTCCTTGAGCTTTTGCGGGGCTTGCAGGACTTGGTTTTTTTTTTGTTTTTTCGGGCTGGGGGTTTGCAGGCTTCAGTAGAGGCAATGCGGTTGATCGGTCCGCGTTAAGTCCGCTTACAAGTTTCTGCTTGAACAAAAACCCTGCTATGGCATGATTCGGCAGAAGACGCCGTAAGGTCAGATAACCCTAAGACCTAAATCCAAGCGAGGGCCAGTCGTGACCCCGATGTACCTGTGCCCGCACCTGGCGCCTGACTTGACGTTCGGGTTGGAGGCGCCTCTGCTCCGTTCGGTTTTTGGTTTGGGGCTGCTACTTGGTGGCCTAGTGGTACCCCTGTTGCCCTTTTTTGGGTTCTAGGTTCCCTGATACAAGTAACCAATAGCACACACAGGGTACCCTCAATGCAATATGATTACTGACTACCAAGTACAGAGTATGACAGGGTTTTGTTTTGAAGGGCTTCAATTGTTTCAGGTTTACAAAGCTCTTGTCTTGATAGCTTGTTTTTTTGTTTTCGGATTGTCGTTCAAAGCCTCAAGGCCGATCTTCCTGGGTTTATACTTAGTAGCTGAGTGAGCACACTTTACACTTTTTGGGGCTTATGAACTCAGCAACTAAGTATAGCATCTTCAATTGGGATCTAGGGTCCAGAGTCTAGAAGGTTGTTACACTAAACGCTGCAACGAAGTAGTTTGCCACATACGATGCGCACCCTAAACCCTAAACCCTAAACCCTAAACCCTAAACCCTAAACCCTAAACCCTAGACTTAAAGGAAAGTGCCAAGCCCCGACCCATGCAGGGACACGACGACGGGGCCGGTCGCAGCGCTGCAGCTACAGGCTCGGTCCATTTCGGGCGTGTTTTCTACTTGTCTCGGTTTAGGGTTTAGGGTTTAGGGTTTAGGGTTTAGGGTTTAGGGTTTAGGGTTTAGGGTTTAGGATTTAGGGTTTAGGGTTTAGGGTTTAGAGACTCCAAGACCCCTAAATCAAGGAATATCCCTTGAATTATACTCGAAACCCTACTCTGACTTCAGGTATATTCGGTTTCTGAAGTCTCTGGGTATATTCCTTAATTCAGGGTTTTGGGTCTCTGGGTTAGCTACACAAAAATCACGTAAACTTCGCAGAAAAGGGTGGATGAACAGGAGGAATATCAGGGGTTCCATATGGAACACCTCGCAGCCAACGCCGAGGCGAAGCAGGTCTACAAACCCCAAACCCTAAACCCTCTCGCCCCAGGTGGCTTCGGCCTGGGCTACGGACGCTCTGGGACTGGAACCATCCCGGTCTCGAGGCACAGCGGGGGGGGGGGGGGGGGGTTAGGGTTTAGGGTTTTAGGGGGGGGGGGGGGGGGGTGTAGAGTTTACGGGTTTTGAGTTTAGGGCGCTGACAGTTGAGTTTTTTTTTGGTTTCGGGGAGGGAGACCTTTTGTTGGTGTGTCAAGATTGTTTTCGTTCCGGCTTATGGGGTTGTCGGGCATTAAAGGCCATGGCCAGGGTTTATTGGGCTCCTAGTGCTTTTAGGACTTGCAGGAAACTCCAGAAAGTTCAAAAAGTTGGAACGTTGGTTTAAGGATGATTAGAGCCCCCTTATATTAACATTCCTTTGTAGGGATTATACTCGGGGATACTATAATCCCTGTTAAGGTCTGTTAGTATAAGGGGGAACATCCCAATGTGCGTGCGTTATGGGGGTTGTTTTAGTGGGGGGCCTTCGTGAGTTCTGGGATCAGAGGACGTTCTTGGTAGCCCAGTGGTACTCTGTCCGTTTTTGTTGGTTGAAGGTTTAGGGTTTAGGGTTTAGGGCTTAGGGTCTAGAGTTTTAGGGTTTAGGGTTTAGGGGGTTCCCTTGTCAAGTAACCAACCCAAACAGGGCGCCCTCATTATGATATGGTTCCTGGGCTACCAAGAGTTGAACCCTCACACTTTCCAAACCCGCGTGGTGTGAAACCCAACAGGAGGGCCTCAGCCCAAGGAACCTAAGCCCAAAAAGATTCCAAGACAAACGCTCTGAAAAACCCTAAACCCTAAACCTTGAACCCTAAACCCTGAGAACCTGAGAACCTGAGAACCTGAGAACCTGAGAACCTGAGAACCTGAGAACCTGAGAACCTGAGAACCTGAGAACCTGAGAACCTGAACCCCTAAACTTCCCAAAGTCACCCTAACCGCGGTCTTGAAGGAGGTAACCTAATCCCTAAACCCTAAACCCTAAACCCTAAATCTTGTGTGGAGGCCCTCGTCTGCCTCGGGCTCTCGCTCCGGGGAGGCCTCACAAGCACCTTTTTTGTGGAGGGGATGGGTTTAGGGTTTAGGGTTTAGGGTTTAGGGTTTAGGGATTAATTAGGGGGGGGTTAATTAGGGGGGGATTTGGGGTTCAGGGTTTAAGTGTCTGAGGTGTCGGGTTCGGTTTTCGGATTCAGGGGTTAGCCGATTGGCGCTTGAGGGCTTATGGCTTTGGGCGTTGGACTCTGAAGCCCTGACCCGTGCCGTGTGGATTAAAGGAAATCTGATAAGGTTTTGGATCCACATCATTACTTAGGGTTTAGGGTTTAGGGTTTGGGGTTTAGGGTTTAGGGTTTAGGGTTTAGGGTAGGGTTTTGAGTAGAGCGCGATGTGCGAGACCCCGAGGTGAACCCGTGCCCGCCAGAAGCCTCTGAACAGGATTGGGTCCATTTCTTGATACCTCCATGGGGGGCGGGGGCACCTTTCAGCAAGCATTTCACTTCATACCTCTTTTGCCAAATGGCACCACATGGCATCGAGTTCCCCAGCATTGAGAGGCTTATGGAGAAGGACTCAAAGAAGTCCGCAAGGATCGAATTTCTGGGGTCTCCATCGACAGCCTTCACATCATCGGCCAAGGTAGTTGTGAGTTTTCCTGGTGTACATGGCTACGCATGGACGGTCTTGACGCATCTTGCAGCACAAGGAACGGAACAAGTGCTCTCTTCTTGTGTTTTTTTGCCCGACCATAGGGCTGTGGGCTATGGCACACATATCCTCGATGCGAAGGGTTTTTTCGGAGCATGCCATTGCAACCACCTCTACCCAGGTAAGCCGCCAATAAGGGATGGCTGCTTTTGGTACATCCTTTGGATGGAGAGAACACTGCAGGCCGCCCGGCAGGATTGCGAACTCATTGTTGTAACTATGGAAGATGGTGATCTTGGGAATTCACAAAAGGCAGAGGTACGGTTTTTGCAAGATTCCAAACTGAAGTTTCAGAAAGTTACCATCCGCGAATTTGCAGACATGGTTCTTGACAAGAGCTCTGGCACTGCATGCCCAGTTGCACAAACTGCGGGATGTGAGATCGATTTGTCCCGGATTGATTTCCAGCGCATGGGAGTACTTGCTCCTGTTGAAGAAGTGGAATTTTTGGGTTCTTCATCAGAGGCTTTCATGCGCTCATCGAAGGTCGTGGTGAGCTTCCCTGGTCGATATGGCTATGCGAAGGCAGTGTTGACGCGTCTGGCTGCAAGGAAGAACAGCTCCTTACTCACAATTTGTGTTTTCATCGCACAAGAGATGGATCTGGGTTATGGCAAGCACATCCTGGAATCAGAAACCCTGTCCGAGGGGCGTGTTTGTGGACACTGCTATTGTCAGAAGCTTTATGGCAAAGTACAGCCTTGGGGATGTTTCTGGTTTGCTTGGTGGAAGGAGCGACTTGCGCAGGCTACAAAAGTTGGTGCTGGACTGATCGTGGTGTCCGGAGAAGACGGCTCCCTTGGGGACTCACAGCAGGGTGAAGTCGAGTTTCTGAGGAGCTCCAACTATGGCTTTCGGCTCCTTTCCATCAGCGAGTTCGCGAACTTCGTGCGAGATTGTGAGAGTCTGGAGCAATATGGCCCTTCTTCATGCCTCTGCTCTTAAACAGCTCTTGGCTCAGACATGTCTATTTCGTCCAAGGCTTCATCTCTGTGAGATAGCAGACTTTCTTTGTACCGGGCGAGTAGTGCACAGCTTCATCGCCTTACTGCACGAGTTGCATGCAACCTTTAGGAGTTGCTTTAGGAGTTGGTACCCTGTGCTGTGGTGCGCTGGTCGAGATGTTCAATCTATCTCTTCCCCATGTTTATCCTCGAGCTTGATACTTTGTTGCATTTCAAAACTGTGCTCTCTCGCCTTCACTCGAACTGAAGTCCGACAGCACAAGCTTTCCGGGGTGGGGGTCGATAGGGATGCTAGCTAGGTTGGCATCTGGCACACTGGATTAAGTACCACATGGGTTCACCACCAGCAGCAACGTGGCCTTTCTGCAAAGAAGCGAGCCAAACTGAAACCCCAACGTACCAACTCAAACGTTTCCATGCCACCAAGTTCCTGAGGATGCATAGAAAACCTTCTTTTGGCAGCAACTTACCAGGATAGACAGGCGAGTCTTCTGTCAAGGGCTTAGAAGTTTTCATTGCATGGATGGGTTGGAGATGGTGTCGAGACAAAAGGACCGAAACTGTCCCCTGAGCATGGAAGGGCTATCTTTAGATTCATGTTTTACCCCAAGTCTTGCCAGCTCGGTTGTTCTCAGCAGTTCACTGCGCTAGGACCCTGCTTCAAACGATCCTGAACACCCGAGAGTGTAAGAAAGTACATGATGCGGCCCTCCTGACCTTCGTCTTCACCCATAGCCCAGAGCCTCTTGGTCTGACGTGGCTTGAGTCTTCCCTTCGCTGCAGCTTGCTCTGGAGCATGGCTCTCTGGAGCATGGCTCAAAGTTGCTTCCATTCACTCATGGGGATCAGGCTACCGGCTTCCAGGACCAGCAGGAACCCTATCAGGGGCCTTCTTAAGGGGGCTCTAAGGGTCCATGTACCTATAAAGTATATTTGGGCCCTAAAGCTACTATATAGGAGCCCCTTTAAAGTCCAAGCATATGCTATACGGGTATGTGGACCCTTTGGGGGTTATAATAGCCCGTCCAGGATTGGCTTAGGGCTAAGTCTGCGAATGTTGAGTGTGACCACGGCTGAAGAACACCCGACGTGCACAGCATGCTAGCTTCTCCGGCTCGTGAAGTCTATTTACGAATCTATCTACGAAACTGCTTGATGTTTGATGAAGTTTAATAGCTGTATCAGTGAAGAATGGCACCCTCAGAAATAGTGTTACGGCTGCCACTCCCTCCATTCACCACGGTGGACCGCGCCTGCCCCGCCATGAACGCCATAGCCTCGGAAATCCGTCGTGTCCATGGATCTAAGGGTAGTTATATGAAGTAGGGTTTAAAATATGTCTTGTACCCCCAAAAGGACACCCGGTATATACACTCACCAAGAATAAAAGGAACCTTATACACACTCACCAAAAACAGCAATATAAACCCTGCTTCATATGGGCCCTTAGTATGGTCCCTAGACTTCTTTCAATGGTTCTGAAGTATGGGCCCTTGGGTTGTATAGGGTATAAGGGGTATATGAAGGGGTCCCCTTTCTTGTAAGATTTTTCAGGACCCATACTAAGGGACCATGTAACTACCCTAAGACTGGACAGATCTGTACCCGGAGCACAGGAAGCTTCTCATTGCAGAGGTTCTAGGGTTTGGTTGAGCTCGGCATAAACCGATGTTCGTTTTTTGCCCTTTTTAGAGACGAGCTGAGGGAGCAAACAATCGAGGTCACAGTTTCCACGTTTCAGGTCTGAGGGTCTTGGGCCTGGGGGCGAGGGTTTCCCATGGCATGTCTTCTGAAGTGTGAAATGAGTATAGACATCGGACTCAAGTTGTTTCATCGTTATACCGTTACAGTTATAGATTCTACAATCTGTCAACTATGCGACGAGTTCCTGGCACCTGGATTGCTACATTGATCCGAAGCCACAAGGAGCATGCCCCTACGCCCTAAACCCCCTGATCTACCCTGAACCCTTCAACCTAAACCATAAACCCTAAACCCTAAACCCTAAACCCTAAACCCTAAACCCTAAACCACTTAAGCCCTGAATCCTGATTGAGGCGATGGACATGCTGATTACCGACTCGGAGGAGGAGGAGGACTGGCGGCCCGCGAGTTTGGCGCTTTACTTGGGGTGGTTTAGGGTTTAGGGTTTAGGGTTTAGGGTTTAGGGTTTAGGGTTTAGGGTTTAGGGTTTAGGGTTTAAGAAGGGGTTTAGGGTTTAAGAAGGGGTTTAGGGTTTAAGAAGGGGTTTGGGGTTTTAGGGTTTAGGGTCGTGATTGTTGAAGCTGGTCTTTGCGGCGTTGGTGCTTTGTCTTGCGAGTTTTGGGAAAGCTCGAGCCGACTTTGGGAAGGTTGAGCCCCGATGACGGCACAAGGGGTCTTCTAAGCCCTATACTTAGGAGCCCAATAGGTGAACTTTAAACTTATTGGGTATACCAAGCCCCTACTAAAAGAAAAGTTTAAACTTTTTTGGGCCAAGGTGTTGGGCAACTAAGTATAAGCGCTATACATAAGCCCCTTAACCCTCGACCCTAAACCCTCAACAACCAAACCCTAAACCCGTAGGGTCTAATCACTTGCAAGGTTACCCGCGAGCAGCTTAACATTTGGGTTCAGGGGTTCGGGTTGGAGAGTTTAGTGTCTAGGGCTTGGGTTATAGGCTTTGGGTTGGTGTTCAAAGAGTTCAGGACTTTTGGGATTTAGGATTTTGGGTTTAGGGTTTAGGGTTTAGGGTTTAGGGTTTAGAAGTCTAGGGCTTTCAGGGTTTGGGCCCAGGAAGAGGCGCCCAACGTCAAGGTCGTTTGGCCGAAGGTGCGGCCCACAGAAGAAGATGGTCAGTTCTCCAAACTCGGCTTCCCCTTCCCTGCTACCCTAGTTTAGGGTTTAAAGGGCTTATAGGGTTTAAACTTTAAAGGGTTTAGGATTTAGGTTTTAGGGTTTCGGGTTTAGGGTAAGCAGCCGCTGGACCCTAAACCCTAAACCCCAAATCTGGAGATTCATTTTGCTTTCCGTTCTTTTCAGGAAAAGGTAGAACCCTAAACCCTAAACCCTAAACCCTAAACCCTAAACCCTAAACCCTAAACCCCCCAAACCCCTAAACTACTGCACAGAGAAATCCAGATCTGCACCTTGGATTCCTATTCGGAGAGATTCTCCAAGCTGTGAGGTGCTTCGGGTTAGGGCATATAGGGCTTATGCGGTTTCAGGTTTAGGGTTTAGGGTTTAGGGTTTGGGGTTTAGGGTTTAGGGTTTAGGGTTTAGGGCTTAAGGTTTAGGGCTTAAGGTTTAGGGTTTAAGGTGTAGGGTTTAGGGGTTCAGGGTTTGGAGCTGACTGAAGAGAAGGTGATGTGCGTGTGGTAGCCGCTCCTTCGTGGACTCAATGAGGCCGGCTAAAAGCCTTGATGGTCTTTACATGGTACTTAGTAACTAGTTATAACTGTACTTAGAACTGTACCTGTGACCATCGTAGGGCACTTCAGGGGCTTATAAGTGGATTATAATGTGCAGGTAAAATTGGTGTTTTAATTGCCCTGAACCTCCAAGTAAGTTTGGCTTCCATCACGTAGTCCCTACAGTTTAGTGTGCTTAGGGGGTCCCCTATTTGAGCGCACGCCTGGATCTAAACCCTAAAACCCTATACCCTAAACCCCAACCCCTAAACCCTAAACGCCAAACCCTTAACCCCAAAGTGCACAGGGTTGTTAAAAACAAAAAAACCCTAAACCCCAAACCCCAAACCCCAAACCCCAAACCCCAAACCCCAAACCCTAAACCCTAAACCCTAAACCCTAAACCCTAAACCCTAAACCCTAAACCCTAAAGGGCTTTCTGCCTTCAGGCGCCCTCACTGCAGGAGTGGGCCGAAGTGCTGCCTACGGAGGCCATCTGGGAGCGGGTGGTCCGGTTTTAGGGTTTAGGGCTTAGGGTTTAGGGTTTAGGGTTTAGGGTTCAGGGTTCAGGGTTCAGGGTTCTTGGTTTGGTGTGTTTTTCGGGTGGGTTTCGTTCCAGGAGGCCCTTCTTTGGGTGTGCTTCAAAAGCGGGAGTCTACTCAGGTTGGCGTTGTAGAGGGGATTTTCACCGTTTACAATTAGTTGCTTCAGAATCCTCCCCAAAAACACAAAGTATTCTTCCTTCAAAGGGGAATAATGTTGCACCTCCTTAGTATTGGCCCCCTCTTTAACGACAATTTGGCTGAATTATTCAGGACACCCTGACTGTTTGGGAGTCCCGCTTTAAAGACAAATCGTCCGGGCGCCGTAAGAAAATTCCATGTGGCGCGCCTTTAAAAAAGATTGCCGGCATCGCCGCCCCTGTTAAACTTATCTAAACTCCTCCCAATTAAAATCATATAAACCCTCGGGGCCGTCTAAACAGAGCAAAATCCAGCCTCGACTGTTCAGGAGGGGGGCCCCACACTAAAGAGGGTGCAACATTAGAGGGATTATCAAATTCTATTTATGGGTGGTTCTTCAGCAATTCGTAGTTTGTGGTGAGATCCGATTCTTCGGACCGGTGCAAGAACCGAAACCCTGATTAAACCCTAAGCCTCGAGGACCCAGAGTAGGCCCTTACTCACTCTCTTTTGTGTTGGCGGGTTTAGGTTCCCTTAGAGGCCCCTTTAACCAGAAAGAGTATCCTTTTGATCCTAAGCTACTCCTGGGTCCCCCTAAACCCCGTCCCTAAGGGTCCACGTACCCATATAGTATATACTTGGCCCCCCTAAACCCTAAACCCTAAACCCTAAACCCTAAACCCTAAACCCTAAACCTTTTTTCCCCATAGCAACTATATGGGAACCCCTTTAAGGCCCAAGTATATACTATATAGGTACATGGACCCTTTGGGCCTAGCCCCATCCCTGTCTTGGGCCTTGCTGTCGCAAGGAAGACAGGCGGGGGCACAGGGCTTAGTCTTCAAGCGACTCTGTGAGCCTACACTGGTTTAGGGTTTAGGGTTTAGGGTTTAGGGTTTAGGGTTTAGGGTTTAGGGTTTAGGGTTTAGGATTTAGGGTTTAGGGTTTAGGCCTACACAAACCCTTTCCACACCCCAGAAATCCCAAACAAGGCCGCCAACAGCCCTCTCAATTGAGTAAAGTGTCTGGGACTTTCTGTGGCTAGGATGGGTAGCTGCGGTTGGGAGGCTTTCTAGGACCCTTGCTCCCTTTTTTGTTGAGAGTTTACGTTCTGAAAAGGTTCTGAAAAGACCCTGTTGAACCAAAACCACAAAAAGCACCCTCTTCATTCCTAGGTTGTTCTTGGGTCCAGTCTTGTAGCACGGAATCCTTCTTCCCTCCAAACAACCCCCACACTCCACGCTCCCAAAGCCTGCAACCCAAGCCACATGGAGCTTGTTCCAAACTGCCCCCCCCCCCCCCCCTCCCCCCCCCTGTATATTTCGGTAGCTGTGTTCGAAACACTCGATAAGAAGTACCCCCCCCCCCAGAAAAGAAGAGCAAAATCAAAGCACCAAGTGTTTGTATATACATATACACATATATACATATATACATATATACACATATACATATATACATATACACATCTATACATCTATACATATATACATATATACATATATACATATATACATTTATACATATATACATATATATGCATATACACATATATACATATATACATATATACATATATACATATATACATATATACATATATACATATATACATATATACATATATACATATATACATATATATGTATATATGTATACATATATATATATACATATGTATGACAAAATCCCAAACCTCCCCGCTGACGTCCCTTGCCACAGGGTGCGCCAGAGACGCCACGGCAGGAGCCCCGTGGGCAGGCGAACGCTCGCTGAGTTGATTGGCGGGTTTAGGGTTTAGGGTTTAGGGCTTAGGGTTTAGGGTTTAGGGTTTCGGGTTAGGGGTTTAGGGTTGAGGGTTAGGGCGAGGGCGAGGGGTTTGGGATTTCGGTGTTATCCAGACCTATCATGTCATCATGAATTGAAAGTATCGGCTGTCCCCCTTCAGCAGCAGACAAAGTCCGGGTCTCGCAGGTGCGGCAGATTACGCCAGAGGTGCGGCAGGAGCTTCAGGGACCGCTGTAGGTCCCCTAAGGGTCCATGTACCTCTCCCTACTTGGAGGTTCGTGGTACTTAGTAACCAATTATGACTGTACTTATAACCCACTTGTCAGCCCCTGAAGTGCCCCAATATGGTTATAAGTACACTTATTTATAAGTACAGTTATAACTGGTTACCCTAAACCCTAAACCCTATAAGTACAGTTATAACTGGTTACTCAGTACCACGAATCTCCAAGTAAAGCTGCTCGAAAGGAGCCCCCTGAGGCCCAAGTATATACGATGTGGGCCTTAGGGCCCCCGAACCGTAAACCCTAAACCCTAAGCCCTAAACCCTAAGCCCTAAGCCCTAAACCCTAACCCTTAAGGTAGGTCCAAGAAGCACGAAGCCGTGCTGCTGCAATCATTGAGCCTGATGCGAAGTCTCCAAAGTTCCTTGTGCCGCGCCTTTCATTGAAGCCACGAGTTGCCCCAAACCCTAAACCCTTTGGGGTTTGGGGTTTAGGGTTTAGGGTTTAGGGTTTAGGGTTTAGGGTTTAGGCTGTAAACCCTCCAAGCGCTTGCTGTCGCCATGTTCGCAGGATGAGGCCGATCCCACCCGCTTTTGCGTAGAGGGCAAAGATCGGAGCTGGCGCGAGCCTCAGGATGTTTGCTGGATCATGGGGTTTAGGGTTTAGGGTTTAGGGTCTTGGGTTTTACCCAAAGAGCCCAATATAAATCTTAGATAAGGAACGTGCCTTAAATCGTAACAGGGATCCTAGTATGATGTAGGGTTGCAGATAGACGTAAACTCAGGCGCGTGTTAGGGTACTTCTGGGTCTAAGATTGGGGTCTTGGGTTCAGGGTTTAGTGTTTAGGGGTTCAATACCCCTTACTTTAATTGAGGAATAGATCCTTGAATCATAATAGGGATCTAAATGCGATTTAAGGTGTTTTTTCCTTAATTGCGCGGTATTGGGCTCTCCAGTGGTTGAGGAACTTAGTTGTAGTGACAGTACGACTAGGGTTCAGGGTTTTGGATGAACTCAGCTTAAGCTACCACAGTTATGAAGTTACAATGTGTTCCGAGCCACTGTTTGGGAACTTAGTTGAAGTTGCGTGTGGAGTATAGTGAGCTAGTGAGCATCTAGGTGTTGAAGCCATGGAGGCTCCTCAGGGGTTGGTCAAGATGATTGACCCCCCTTTTTCGTACCTGAAACCCGAAGCCCTACGTCCTAAGCCCTAGGCCCTAAGCCCTAAACCTTAAACCCTAAACCTTTAACCCTAAACCCTAAACCCTAAAGCCTAAACCCTAAACCCTAAGCCCTAAGCCCTAAGCCCTAAGCTCCTCAAACCCAGGTGGCTAAAGATGCCCTTTTGGCAAAGACTGTGGGTGTTTATCGGGATAGTTCTCTAAATCAAGGTCCGTTTCTATTCCCTTTTTTGGGGGGGGGGGGGGGGGAGGGGGGGGGGGGCGGGAGAGGGAGGGGGGGGGGAGGGGGGGGGAGGGGGGGGAGGGGGGGGGAGGGGGGGGGAGTGGGGGGGAGGGGGGGGGAGGGGGGGGGGAGGGGGGGGGGGGAGGGGGGGGGAGGGGGGGGGAGGGGGAGGGGAGGGGAGGGGGGGGGGCGGGGGGGAGGGGAGGGGGGGAGGAGGGGGGGGGGAGGGGGGGGGAGGGGAGGGGAGGGGGGGGGAGGGGAGGGGATCGAAAAAGGGACAAGGGACCCTGATTTCGAGAACGGCGATTAAGGGACTTTTCGTGCTGACTTCCACAGTTGAATCTAGGGTTTAGGGTTTAGGGTTCAGGGTCGAGGGTTTAGGGTGTAGGGTTTGGTGCAGAATTTTGGGTGTTTGGAGATTTCAGGTGTGCTTGGCACCCTTTGCTTGGTGACTCCCTAGAAAGGACTGTTTACCTCCCGCACTCCCCTGAGAACTTCTATCCTTCGAGGTTCAGGGTTTTCCACGTAGCCGTGTAGGTTTAGGGTTTGGGGTGTAGGGTTTGGGGTGTATAGGGTTTGGGGTTTAGGTTTTGCGGTTCAGGGTTTGGGGTTTGGGGTTCAGGGTCCAGGCCTTGATTCTTCCACTCCAAGTCACCCCAGCTCATGAGCCAGGTTCCTGCAGAAGGGCGGGGTGGTTTTCGACCGGCCCCGCCCGGACAGGCACATTTCCGCAAAAAGCCCCGAACCGAGAGCCCTGCAACCCCAAAGCATTAGGCGTGTTCTTGAAATCTTACTGTTGGCAGCCTGTGGTTAAAAAGCCTCGGGCTCTGAAGCTTCGGGAGGTTGCGTGTTTAGGGTTTAGGTGGAGGCTGCTCATCGACCCCGATGGAGCGTTAAAGAGTTTAGGGCCTCAGAGTTAGGGTAACGCCTTAGTTTTCTTCAAGCCTCAACCCTAAACCCTAAACCCTAAACCCCAAAGCCTAAATCCTAAATCACAGCTTGGGCCTTTCGCCCCACGAACATGGACCTTGTAGGGCACCTTGAGTGAGCTTCCCCATAATCAAAAATGGTAAAAGGAACCAGAGCCGAGCCCTAATCCTAGCCTTCATCTCTCATAAAGGACCCCCCCCCCCCCCCCCAAACCCGAAACCCGAAACCCTAAACCCTTAATTCCCGGTAAGAAGGTGGTCTTTTTTGTGGAAGCCGCAGGGCAACTCTAGGAACCCCAACAACACCCAAAAGAAGCCCTAAAGAAGCCACAAGCCCCAAACCCTAAACCCCAAACCCTAAACCCTAAACCCCAAACCCTAAACCCCAAACCCTAAACCCTAAACCCCAAACCCCAAACCCTAAACCCTAAATCCTAAACCCCTAACCCTAAACCCCAAACCCTAAACCCTAAACCCCAAACCCTAAACCGTAAACCCTAAACCCTAAATCCTGGCACCAGATTCCGCCTGGATGTGACCTTCAGCGGCGGCCTGCAGAGCCGCTTTGGCGATGACTACGCCGAGCCCGGGGCCCTCAACAAGGGTTCAGGGCCGTTTAGGGTTTAGGGTTTAGGGTTTAGGGTTTAGGGTTTAGGGTTTAGGGTTTAGGGTTTAGGGTTTAGGGTTTAGGGTTTGGGTTTAGGGTTTAGGGCCTTTTAGGGCCATTTAGGGTTTAGGGTTTAGGGGTTTATGGTTTAGGGTTTAGGGTTTAGGGATTTACCCAAAGAGCCCAAGATACCTTAAGTAAGGAATGCACCTTGAATTAGAACAGGGATCCTAGTATGATGTAGGGGTCTACGATAGACTTCGACTTAGGCCTCTGTTAAGGCGAACTTCAGGGGTTTTAGGGTTTAGAGTTTAGGGGTTCGTTGTAGGGCTTGGTGTTCAGGGTTTAGGGTGCAGGGTGCGTCCCCAGACCATGCCCAAAGTGCAGACCTCAACCGCGGTTTAGGGTTTAGGGTTCAGGGTTTAGGGTACCTCGAAGAGCCCGCTGTACGTGACATGTGCTGTCGAGGATGCCCAGTGGTACCCTTACCCAAAGGGAAATATACTATAATACTCACGTGGACCCTTAGGGAGTAGTACCCGTATTCCCCTATTCCCTTTTTCAGGGTTTAGCAGAAACGCAGGGTCTTGCCAGAAATTTCAGGGTGCTTCGACCATCTAGGCCGGCTTCAAACCCTATCAGCCCTGCAAACCCTATAACTCCAATAAACCCTAAAGCCTATAAACCCAAACCCTATGAATCCCAAGCCCTACACCCGAAACCCTCACCCCCCCCCCCCACCCTTTAAACTCTAAACAATAAACCCTAAACCCTAAACCCTAAACCCTAAACCCTCCCCCAGCAAAAACACAAACAAGCCGCGGAAGCTGCAGAGGCTGAGCCGGGCAGAGCAGTCGGACACCATCAACTGGCTGGTGGCCGTTGGGGTCGCCGGGGGGCCCTGGTTCCTGGACTAGGCGTGTAGGGTTTGGGGTTTTAGGGTTTAGGTTGTAGGGTTTAGGGTTTAGGGTTTAGGGACCTAAATAGTATATGCTTGGGCCTTAACGGGGTTCCCATATAGTAATATCAATATCGCAGCTTTAGCTAAAGCAAGTTTGCGTAGGTACATGGACCTCAGGCAGGCCCTTGAGATGTTTCATATATTTCCTTGTTGGGTGTGAGGGGATCAGACTGAGGACTGTTTAGGGTTTAGGGTTTAGGGTTTAGGGTTTAGGGTTTAGGGTTTAGGGTTAGGGTTTAGGGTTTAGGATTTTCAGATTTGTTCTCAGGGCCATCCTAGTTTCTGAGGGTTGGCACCTCCTCATGTACCTCGTGTATCTAAGGGTTGTTTTCCGGACCCTCAACATGGTCCCTTACCTCCTTTGAAGTTCGAAGGGTTCTGAAGTACGGGCCCTCGGCCTGCATAGGGTACAGAAGGTGTATATTAAGGGCCCAAATCCTACAAAAGGGACCATCTACGACCCGGGAATGTACCCAAACAGTTCTTGCTGAAAAAGGGCGCGTGCTAGTCAGAATGAGTATTTCTGAGGTTCCTCGAGTCATTGGGTGATTTAGGGTTTAGGGTTTAGGGTCTAGGGTTTAGGGTTGAAGGCTTTGTGTAGCGTGGGGTCGGGGTTCTGGGTTGGGGTGCGGGGTGTCGGTTGTCTAGAGCCCTCACGAAGGGGCATGAAGTTGGGCCCATTGTCTCTTATCGGCCCTAATCCATGGACCCCAAAGCCTGAAACCTAAACCTGAAACGAACGCCTTCGGACCCCTAAACCCTAAACAATAAAAACCCTAAACAATAAAACCCTAAACCCTAAACCCTAAACCCTAAACCCTAAACCCTAACCCCTCCGCATTCGCAGCCTCTTACATGTTTGGGACCTCGCATCTGAGACGGGCGCCTGGATGTGAGGCTAGACATGATGCGGTGCTCACAGGCTACAAGGATGCCGTGATTCACGTTTTACGGTGTGAAGTCTTTGAGGCTGTTCGGTTTTTTAGGGCTTCGGGTCTTCAAGGCTTGAGAGGTGTAGTGGCAGATCGAGGGCATCCATACAGGGGAGCCGCAAAGCAGGACTAAACCCTAAACCCTAAACCCCAAACCCTAAACCCCAAACCCCAAACCCCAAACCCTAAACCCTAAACCCTAAACCCTAAACCCTAAACCCTAAACAGGACTGCAAGACCACGGGCTTCTATTTCATCTTCCACCTGAACTATCGGCGGACTCGGTGGCGTATTGTCGCCTGCCCCCACAACGCTGAGCTGGAGGACTGCTGCTTCTTTAGGGTTTAGGGTTTAGGGTTTAGGGTTTAGGGTTAGGGTTTTTCTAACTTGAAGCCAATACAGCCTCATTGCCGCATCCCTCAATGACTCAACCCTATAACCCTATAACCCTAAACCCTAAACCAGAGGCTTCATTGGCTTTCTGATCTCCAAGCTTGGGATGTTCACCCAGTCCCGGCAACCCATCCCAAATCCCAAGCCCCCTAAACCCTAAACCCTAAACCCTAAACCCTAAACCCTAAACCCTAAACCCTAAACCCTAAACCCTCAGGAACCCTGTGTGCATTTCGCTGGGCTTCGGGGCCTCGAGGTTTTGGGGTGGGGGCATCCAGGCTCACGAAAGCGTGGGATGAAAATGATCCAGAAGCGAGTTGTCGGACTCGAGCTTAGATTAGGGTTTAGGGTTTAGGGTTGAGGGTTTAGGGTTTAGGGTTTAGGGTTTAGGCCAAGCTCACAGAAGTTTGCTCGCGATGGTAGTGGCGAAAGACAATCCACTTTTTGCATAGCTTGTGTGGCATTCATGTTGTGTAGAACATGTCGCTGACAGTTTGCTTATACCACTAGTAAGACTTGAGATGGGATGGCTGACGTCGCTGGGTATCAGCCCTTGAAGCAACATTAAGCCGTTAAGCAGCGCTTTATGATAAGTGCTGTTGTCTCAAGTTTCGGTGTTGTTTTGGACATGGTCCTTCTGCGAAAATCTCGCTAAGTGTTGAGACAGCCTCGGTTGCGTCACCCTACCCTTAAGTTAAAAGTTCCCTGCTAAACGGCTAAAGTGGCCTCACAAGGATGTCAACAGCTTAGGGTTCAGAGGACTTCCGTCAAGCTTGGACTTGGAGACATCTGCACACGACACAGCCTCCAGGATGGACCTTAACACCCTACTTGGAGGTTCATGGTACTTAGTAACCAATTAAAACTGTACTTAAAACTGTACTTATAACCATCTTAGGGCACTTAAGGGGCTTATAAGGTGGGTATAAGTGCAGTTATAAGTAGCTACGAGGCACCATGAACCTCCAAGCAAGGCTTAACAGCCCATCCCGGCTAGTAACCGTGTCTAAGTCCTAGGTAGGATAAGGGGACCCTTAAAGGACCCCTTCTGAACCCTCTTGTGGCTCTCTTAAACAGGGACCTTATTCAGAGGGTCTATCTCCCCAAGGGTCCCCCTTATCCTATCTCCTACTAAGACGGGCTCTGAGAAAGTCCGCGAAGAGAGCCGCAAAAGACCGTGCACTTCTCGCGAAGAAGAACGATTTCCCCCCCAGGGAAGCCCCTCAGAGCAGCCGGGTTTAGGGTTTAGGGTTTAGGGTTTAGGGTTAGGGTTTAGGGTTTAGGGTTTAGGGTTTAGGATAAAGGTTTGTGGTTCAGGGCTTAGGCATCACAAAGTGGCTGCTGCGGGTAATTGTTTAGTGTAAGGTTGGAACCAAAGGCCCTTAGTGTGTTCCCTTACCCTGGTTTATTCGGGATCCAAAGTATGGGCCCATACTTGAAACCCTAAACCCTTAACCCTAGACCCAAAACCCTGAACCCTAAACCCTAAACCCTAAACCCTAAGGGGAACCCTAGATTTAGACACCGGTCGTACGTCCAGGACCTCAGCGGCCAGCGTTTCTCTTGCGATCCGCAGGCTCGGGGAGCCGCCTTTAGGGTTTAGGGTTTAGGGTTTAGGGTTTAGGGTTTAGGGTTTAGGGTTTAGGGTTTAGGGTTTAGGGTTTAGGGTTTAGGGTCTAGGGCTTAGGGCTTAGGGCTTAGGGTTTAGGGTTTAGAGAGCTGAAGAACAAAAGGAGAGCCCACACCCCTCTCCCTTTATATCTAAAGAACAATACCTTATGATTTTAGGGCTTTCGAGTTTTGGGTTTCGGGTCTGAAATTTGGGATGTTCCCTGCCCCGGCTGTCCGCGACCAGTGACCGTAAGACTTCTAAACAAATTCACAGGGTAATTTCTTGGGCGTTTAGGGTTTAGGGTCTAGGGTTTAGGGTTTAGGGTTTAGGGTTTTGGGTTTTGGGTTTAGGGTTTAGGGTTTAGGGTTTAGGGTTTAGGGTTTAGGGTTTAGGGTTAGGGTTTAATTTGGTCCATAACCTCCCTGCAAGGGTTCCGAAGTATAAGCCCTTTTGGGTTGTCAGGGTATATAAAGGAGTCCCTTTTTAAGGGACCATGTACCTACCCTCAGAGAAACCCGAAGCCCTAGAAACCCTAAACCTTATAGACCCTGAACCCAACAGCCCAACAGGCCCTATAGCCCGATAAGCCCTAGACCCTTACCCTGAAAACCGAAGCCTACTGGTTCTCAGTAGGGGCTCCCTTGAAGGGTATATGTTAGGGCCCAAAAAACCACAGAAACATAAGGATCCTATTGGGTTATAAGGGCCCCTACAAAATCCGAAAACCCAGTTTGTAGGATCCCTATGTTTATGTGGTCTTTTGGGCCCCTAGTATGGGGAGATATAAGGTGCCGAGTTCCCTCGTTCCCTACTAAGCTTTGTGGTGCTTTGCTGTAACTTTAGATCCTTAGCCTTTGTGGGTTTATTGGGTTTCTTAGTAGGGCAGCTAGAAAATTTAATTTATAACTACCCTCCTAAGTGCAGCCAAGTAAGAGCCAATAGGTAAGCTCTGCAGGAAGATGACCAGTTCGAGCTGGACGCCTACGAGGGGCAAACCCTGCCGGAGTCTCGAAGACCTGGAGCTCTATAAGCCCCACCTGGAGACCCTCTTTGCCTACAGCTTTATGGGTTATACCTACTAGTTACTGCTAAGCTGTTCTTTAAAAAGCATCCACGGCAAACTGACCGTCTTTCTTTTTGTTGGGCGAAGGGGTTTTGGTTGGCTTTTTGGAGCTTTTTGGTTGTGCCGTGTAGGGTTGTTTAAGTTTGGTGTTTGACTTGTTTTTTTGCGCTTCTTGTAGCGTGGACTAAACAAAGCCCTAAACCCTAAACCCTAAATACTGGATTCGAACAGGGCTTGAGACTGGACCATAGAAACACCAAACACCCCGTAACTCCTACTCAAAGCCCTTTTTCAAGTTTCCCTAGTTGCCCATGTACCTATATAGCTACTCTATAGGAACCCCTTGAAGGCCCAAGTGTATACTACACAGGCACATGGACCCTTTGGTTCGGAAGCAAAACTTCTAAACGCAGAGAAAGCACCGCGACCCTAAACCCCACACCCTACACCCTACACCCTAAACCCTAAACCCTAAACCCTAAACCCTAAACCCCACACCCTACACCCTACACCCTAAACCCTCAACCCTTGGCTTCATCAAGGTGCTCTGGAAGATTTCGGTTCAGGTGGCTCGAGGGTCCAAAGTTCGTGAGCCCTAAACCCTTAAAAGTTTATCCCCCAAACCCTAAGCCCTAAACCCCAAACCCTAAACCCTAAACCCTAAACCCTAAACCCTAAACCCTAAACCCTAAACCTTAACCCCTAAACCCTAAAGCCTATTTCAACCCCTAGGGCTTACAGGGTTTTTGGACTCTTCTCAATCCGCTGCAGAGGTCCGTGGAGTTCGCGGAAGGTGAGCTGCTGGGACCTTAGGGCCTGTGTCACAGTTTGCCGAAAACCCCTGAACCAGCATCCTCGAAGCCCTGTAGCCCGAAACCCTATCAACCCTAAACCTCCACCTCCGAAATCCTAAGCCCTAGAAACCTATGAACCCTACGAACCCTTCGGTCCCTTTACTCTCACTAGTCCCTAGAACCCTATAAACACTATAAACCCAAACTCCCATCCCCTAAGCCCTGAACCCTATAAGCCCCAAGCCTTCAACATCTACCTCCCAAAACCTAAGCTCTAAACCTTATAAATCCCAAACCTTACGCCTGCACCTAAACCCTACCTCCCGAAACCCTAAAACCCTAAAACCATAAATCCCTAAACCCTAAACCCTAAACCCCAAACCCCAAACCCCAAACCCCAAACCCTAAACCCTAAACCCTAAACCCTAAACCCAAACCCTAAACCCTAAACCCTAAACCCTAAACCCTAAACCCTAAACCTAAACCCTGCTCTGCAAAGGTTCGTCGCCGAACGAAACCAGCGGCGCGCGCTGGGAAAATGGGCAGGGAGCTCAGGCATGGATGAGGTCTATGTAAAAGTGTTTTAAAAGTGTAGGGTTTTAGGGTTTAGGGTTTAGTGTTTAGGGTTTAGGGGTTAGGGGTTAGGGTTTATGGTTTAGGGTTAGGGTTTAGGGTTCAGGGTTTAGGGTTGAGGGCTTAGGGCTGAGGGTTTAGGGTGTTAGGATTTTAGGGTTTCGGGTTTGGGGTTAGGGCTTAGGGCTTTGGGCTTAGGGCTTAGGGGTTAGGGTTTTGGGGTTAGGGTGTAGGGTTTAGGGTTTAGTTTAGGGTCCGTTCAGGGCTGACAGGTACTAGGTAGGCCCTTGGGAAGTTGTATGTTGTCCCTTCCTCGGGTTTAAGAGGATCATGTTTAGTATCTTTTTTCGAGGGTTTGAGTGGCCATCGTGGTTTATGGCTATTTGGGTTTAGGGTCATTCGGGTTATCCGTGATGATTAGGTTAATTGGTGTCATTGTTGAGGGCAAATAGGGTCTAGCAATTTTTGGGCTGTAACTTGAGGTTCAGGGCATTTTGTTCAGGATTGGCAGGGTTTGGGGTTCTAAGTTGTGTTGTGTTGGGGGGGAGGGAGGGGGTGAAGGGGGGGCATGCGAACTAGAGGGAACGGGATGGATACGGTTCCGAAGTGGAGGACAGCGCGGGCGGCTTGAAGGCTTTTCTGCACCTGCCCAGAGATCATTGGCAAACCAAATAGCAGTCGGAATCGACCTCCTTCGTTTCGCCCCCTAAACCCTAACCCCCAAACCCTAAACCCTAAACCCTAAACCCTAAACCCTAAAACCCTAAAACCCTAAAACCCTAAAACCCTAAAACACTAAGCCCAAATTCAACCTCATGGCCCTGAGGCCTTCAATGATGGCAGCACGCGGCTTCCAGACGTGAAGTACTTTCCGGCAGTGCCGCGGCCCAGTGGTACCCTTTTGCCCTCTTTTCTGGTTCTAGGTTCCCTCATGAAATAGCCCAAAAAAGGAATTATAATATGGGTACTGGGCTACCACGTTGAACTCCCGCATACACCTTGTACAACCTCTATGCACGCCCTAGGTTATATAGATTCTACGACCCCTATACACCGCCTATATAACATGAAGGGTTATATGTACTTACACAAGACCTGTATAAGGTGTATATAGATCCGACGAAAGCTTTCTAAACCTAAGCTTCAGGCTTCCCATCGTCGTCGGCCAGGGGTCAGCATTGAGGACACCAGGTGCGAACAGGCATTGCTTTGCTCGATAGACATAATCGATACATATATATATATATATATATACATAGATATGTAGATACATATGTACAGATATGCATATATACGTTGATATGTTACACAACATGTATGTATGTACATACGTATGTATGTATGTATGTATGTATGTATGTTTGCTTGTATGTATGCTATGTATGCATGTATGACTGTATGAGTGTATGAATGTATGAATGTATGTATGTATGCATGTATGCATGTATGCATGTATGCATGTATGCCTGTATGCATGCATGCATGCATGCATGCATGCATGTATGGGTATGTATGGGTATGTATTGTATTGTAATGTATTGTATTGTATTGTATTGTATAGATGTGCATGTATGCATATATGCATAAGTGTGTGTGGTGTGTGTGTGTGTGTGTGTGTCTGTAAACTTCCTGTAGGATCTATTTTGGGAGGTCGTACCCCGGAATGTTACCCTCATGGCGCCCTGATAAGCTTTAAACCCTAAAAGCCCAAGACCCGAAGCCGTAACCCGAATGATGGGTTTAGGGCTATAAGGTTTCAGGGTTTATGCTCGTTATCGCCAGCCTTAGGTGCTGACCTCCAACTGCCCCACGTCTTTGACCGCCGTGGTGGCCGCGTGAAGTCCGCGGCAGCTTTCAAGGACACGTTCTGAACTTTCCGGGAACTGGAGCTGGAGATGATGGTTTAGGGTTTAATCAGGGTGTAGGGTGTAGGGTTTAGGGGTCAGCTTAGGGTTACTTGGAAACAAGTTTCGTATTTTTGGTTAGCCAAGTTCAGTATAGTTAGGGGTTCCACAACGTCCTCCAGTGAATCACAGAGGAGGGTCTCCAACCCGCTCTCGCCCAGAACCGTTACGTGAAAAACCCGAACTCCTCCCCAAGCTCAGCAAGAAGCGGGTGGGGGGCGGGGGGGCCTGATACTGCCGAAGATCTCTAGGGCGTCGCGAGATTGTTGACCTTGCCAGGAGCAGGCGATGGAATGCCCAAAGTGGCTCGAAGCGTTGTGCCCCGCAGAGGACAAAAGGCAGAGACGATGTTAGCCAGCATGTGCTCTCGAACCCTAAATCCTAAGCCCGCACATCAACACCAGAGTGTTCTTGGGGCTACTTGCCTTAACAGAGTGCTTATCAGCTTACTCTTCGAATATACCCGAATACCCCAGCTGCGAATTTCTTGTCTCGTCGAACTCTGATGAACATCCCCGAAGACCTTCTAAGCCCAAATCGATAAACCCTAAAACCCTAAAACCCTAAAACCCTAAAACCCTAAAACCCTAAAACCCTAAAACCCTAAAACCCTAAAACCCTAAAACCCTAAAACCCTAAACCCTAAAACCCTAAACCCTAAACCCTAAACACCCTTTAAAAACCCTAAACCCTACATGGACCCTTTGGGCCTCGAACCAGGCTTCTGGCGGATTCTCCTCGCGCGCACCGGAGGAGTGCGGCGCTCGAGCACGCAGCGCCTGGGGTGTTGGGGAGGCTTTGGGGGAGGCCCTAAACTCCAAACCCTAAACCCTAAACCCTAAACCCTAAACCCTAAACCTTAAACCCTAAACCCTAAACCCTATAAACCCTAAACCGGTTAAAGAGGTTAGGGCTTAGGATTTTCCCAGGGGTTTTTGGGGGCTAGGGGTGTTGGACCCTAGGAATGCAGCCGCGGGACTGGGGGGTAAGAGATTGTCTGAATTCAGGAAGGTTTAGGGTTTAGGGATTAGGGATTAGGGTTTAGGGATTAGGGTTTAGGGCTTGGTTAGTCTCTAAGTGGTACATATGGGTTTAACTCTGGCAAGGCCGAGAAGTAGGCTTGAGGGGCTCCGCAGAACCTCGAAAAGGGTCGTGAAACCAGTCGCTGACCTCGATCATTCATTCCCCCTAGACCCTAAACCCTAAACCCCAAACCCTAAACCCTAAACCCTAAACCCTGAACCCTGAACCCCCTTCGCCAAAGACAACAAGCTGTTTAGCCGATTTAGGGTTCTTTTAATTTGTGGTGCTCTGAGAATGGCCCCGCAATTCTTGTGAAGCTTGCCGGTTGTGACCCAAGAGGAGAGGTGTACAAAGGTAAGGCCATCGGAGTAGCCCTAAACCCTAAACCCCAAACCCCAAACCCCAAACCCCAAACCCCAAACCCTAAACCCTAAACCCTAAACCCTAAACCCTCTGCCAGCAACCTTAGGCCCATCGACCGCGCACCGCAGCATGCGCTGCGTCGGCCTTCACGATCGAAGCTGGGTCCGGGTGAGGCAGGGCCACCCCTGTTTTACTTGGTAGCCCAGGGGTACCCTTTTCCCTTTTGTTGTTTACGGGTTCCCTGAGAAATGAACCAACCAAAAAAGGGTGCCCTTATTATAATCTGGGGTACCAAGTTTTTAGGGCTCTTCTTGAAGGTCCAGGGGGTTTAGGGTTTAGGGTTCAGGGTACCTAGTAACCGCCTGTGGAGGGGGGGGGGGGGGCTTTGGGGCCTTAACGCCGAGGCTGGGGGGTTAGGGTTTCGGAGTAGGGTTTAGGGCTTAGGATTAGGGTTGAGGATTTTAGAATGAGGGTTTAGGGTTTTAGGATTCAGGTTTAGTGTTTCGGGTTTAGGGCGTAGGGTTCTTATAGCCCCCTGGTTGACCTAGGACCCAGAGTAGGCCCTTGTTCCTGCTTTGGAGGCTTAGGTTCCCTTCTAAGCCCCTTTAAACCAAAAAGGGTTTAGGGTTTAGGGTTCTTTCCTAGGTTACTCTTGAGTCTAGCAGCGGTTTCAAGGTTCCTGTTGGGCTTGAGGGAGGAGTGTCTTCCGCAGGTGGAGGTGGGGCCTCGCAACCGCAAACTACACCCCCCCGCACCCGCACCTTTGTGCCTATTGAGCTGCTCAGGCGTGGATGTTGAGCTAGCGCTGCCAGGCATTCCCGAAGGATCGGGAATGAAGCGCGGAAAGTTGTTCCATCTCCCAGCGCAGAAGAGGGATTCCCGGTGAGCTTGCGCGCCAATGGTCTCTATGCGTTTTAGGATCTGTGGCAGGGAATGCTGTGAGTTCTGCTATGTTGAAAACCCTGTGGGTCTGGAGTCCCCCTAAACCCTACACCCTAAACCCTAAACCCTCCAACCTTTTGCAGCGCCATCCTCAGCCATTAAAAAAGGGCTAGAGTCGGGGCTGGCTTGCGGGTCGGAGGCGTGTCAACACGATGGGGTTCCAATGTTCAGGGTTTAGGGGGTTTAGGGGGTTCAGGGGGTTCAGGGGGTTTAGGGGGTTCAGGGGGTTCAGGGGGTTTAGGGGGGTTCTAGGGGGGTTCTAGGGTTTTGAGGGTTTATAGGCTTGATAGGGTTTGTAGGGTTTATGGGGTATATAGGGTTTCTATGCTTTAAATAGGTTTAGTTAGGTTTATAGGGTTTAATTAGGTTTTATGGTTTAGGGTTCAGGGGGGTTAGCTTGAGGGGCGCGTGCGCAGCGCGCATCCGGTTTCGCGGCGCTCGCGAAGTGTAGAACTGTCGTCGTCACTTGTGGCCTTGGATCATGCTCCTGCGAGTGCCGTCGTGGTCTTAAACTGTTTGTGTTCTACGCTGGCATAATGTGGGAGTTTCCAAAAACTGGAGAACAACAAAAACTCCCCCCCCCCCCCTGTACAGCCAAGTATTGTAGAAGCCCTCTTGAATAGACAAAGGGACCCCCTACTTGGAAACTCCCTTGTAGGCCTGTGCCTTGGAATTAAGCAGCTGTGTCTTGCCAGCTGCATGCTGCAAGCTGTGTTGGGGGGCGGATCGAAGATCAATGCTAGGAGTTCGACATCGAGTCCAGACGTCATCTCTGAACCCAATAGGGCTTAGGGCCTAGGGTGTTACTCATACGGTTTTCTGGCTGACCTAAATCTTTATTGGGTTTGTAGGCGTGAAGGCTGAATTCCATACCCTGATTCTTTTCAGTTCCCGGGAGCGGAGGTTCTGGACTTATTCGCTAGGACCCTTACACCCTAAATCCTGAACCCTAAACCCTAAACCTCAAACTCTACACTCTAAACCCTATAAACTTACGGGTTGGGCTAGGACCGAGATTAGTTTAGGGCCCTGTCAAACCAAAGAGGGTAGGGGACACCCTATGTTTTCCCCTGTACTCTTGGACCCAGATCATAGGATTCAGGATTTTGGGGTTTAGGGTTTAGGGTTCTTCCTTGGCCTTGGGGTTTTCATCCGCGTTTTGATCTGAGGGGTTTGAGCTTCAATTGTTTTCCTTTATATGTGGGGTCTTAGGGCTTGAGTTGGGTAGCCAAATTTCCCTAAACCCTATACCCTATTCCCTATACCCTAAACCCTAAACCCTAAACCCTAAACCCTAAGTGGTATGTGCAGGTTCGCTCTTTGATCGCCTCCCTTGGTAGGTCTCCTAAGAGCCCCACTTGGACGAGCAGAGGCTTCGTCCTTCTGGGCGTGGGGGGAGGTCGGAAGATTCCGGCGGGAGAAAAAGCAACCCTATACTTGGTCATAGTTGGGAAACATTTTTACATTTTTAAGGGTACTTAAACCCAATAAGGAATAAGCAGTGATTTTTCATATTATCCCAACCATGAACTGGTAAACCCTAAACCCTAAACCGATGCGCGTTTAGGGCATCTACGGCTTTGCTTAGCGGATTATGATTTTGCATGTTAGGGTTTATGTGGTTTCAAAGCTAGGTAGGTCTTTGGGATATTGTCTATCTTCCTTTTTTGGGTTGCAGAGGATCGAGTTGCTGGGAGCCTGGGGGTTTCGGGTTTCCAGCCTTTCCCTTGAGCTCCACCCTCCAAAGGCGGAAAAAGCATACTAGCTGAACCCCAAAATCCGAGACCCTAAAGCTTATAAACCCCTACTGTGCACCCCTTATAGCAAAAAAACATGCTACCTAAACCCTAAATCCTAAACCCTAAGCCCTAAACTACTGTGAGCAGGGGCATTTGCCCTAAACCCTAAACCCTAAACCCTAAACCCTAAACCCTAATTTTAAAACCCTAACCCCTGGCCACCATTGCCTTCAGATGCTTGACAGCTCAAGTCCTAGACGCTAAGCCAACACCGCACGTTTAGGGTTTAGGGTTTAGGGTTTAGGGTTTAGGGTTTAGGGTTTAGGGTTTAGGGTATAGGGTTTCCGACTCGGCTTAAGTTTCCAGGGACTACGTGATGTTTGGAGTTATCCAAGCATCCTTGAAGTAAGCATGATCACGTGGCCATCGACACCACGTGCGCACGCACCCTCACCCAAACCCTAAACCCCCAAACGCTGAACCCTGAACCCACAACCCCAAACCCTAAACCCCAAACCCTAAACCCCAAACCCCAAACCCTAAACCCCAAACCCCACACCCGAAACCCTAAACCCCAAACCCCAAACTTTAAACCCTAAACCCTAAACCCCAAGCCCTAAACCCCAAGCCCTAAACCCTAAACCCTAAACCCTAAACCCCAAACCCTAAACCATAAACCCTAAGCCACCAGCTGGTGGCCTCACTGTGCCACAATGCCTTGACACCTCGGTGACGGGGGCTGGAGGCCAGGTTCTTCGTAGCGAACTAAGAAACTAGGACCGGGAGTAGGGTTTAGGGTTTAGGGTTCAGGGTTTAAGGTTTAGCCCCCTTTTTGGGCTCCTTATTCTAAGGCGGCGGCCCCTCTTATTAAGGGTGCCCATAGTTTAGAGAACTGACCATATCCACCTCATTAATGGTAATCGTAACAGTAGGAATTAAAATTCGTCGTAATTAGTGTTAAACACGGCGGAGCTGTTCGCAAATCAAAGGCGCCAGGGCCGCTGGTTGTGATCCCTTGGCTCTTCAGGAGTCTCTGGAAATGGATCCTTGTTTGTAGCGGATCCTTGTTTTTAGCTTTTTCTGGTACCGTACAAACGGACTGTGAGATGTGCAGAAAGTTTTGGGCGTTAGGTACCCCCCCCCCCCCTTCCGAAGTGGAAAGGGGTTTAGGGTTTACGGTTCAAGGTTTAGGGAGTTTCCCTTTTGCTTCCGAGCTTGCTGAGGGCGCTTAGGTGTGAAATACCTGCACGCTGCCATTGGAGCCTAAACCCTAAACCCTAAACCCAAACCCTAAACCCTAAACCCTAAACCCTAAACCCAAACCCTAAACCCTAAACCCTAAACCCTAAACCCAATACCCAATACCCAATACCCAATAAGCCCTAAACCCTAAACGTTCACGGGTTTGGGCCAGGGAGGGCTCTTCGGGCTTAATAGGGCTAAGGTATCATCGCTTAGGCACCTTGGCTGCAAGAGCCTTAGACCCGCTAGGGTTTAGGGTTTAGGGTTCAGGGTTTAGGGCTTAGGGTTTAGGGTTTAGGGTTTAGGGCTTAGGGCTTAGGGCTTTGGGCTTTGGGCTTTGGGTTTAGGGTTTAGGGTTTAGGGTTACCTTTCTGGGGTGGTGTTCTAGAATGTCCTATAACCAGCCCAAAAAGGAACTACATTGGAGCCTTCAGTTAGGGTGTAAGTCTTTATTGTTTTGGGTTCATTTTGGGTTTAGATAGAGCCTAGGGTACCTGGTTTTGAATAGTAACTTTGGCTGCAAGGCTATGCATCGTCTCCCCGCGCGCTGCCTCGCGCCAGTTCTCCAGCGCGCAGGCAAATCTCGCAGCGATTGCAGTCATTTCTAGTTCCCTCCCCCTCAGGGTTTAGGGTGTTGGGTTTAGGGTTCGGGGTTTGGGGTTTAGGCTCAGCCAGATGATGGTGACCTTGACGGTTGGTTAAGGCTTAGGGCTGAGTGTTTAACAACATCGGGGGGGGGGGGGGGGGGGGAAACAAAACCGGCCGAGGCCGCTTTGTTTTCCCTGTTGCAGTACCCGGCACCTGGGACTTTGAGGTTTAGGGCTTTGGCGGCAGATCCAAGCCAGGAGCCCTTCAGAACGCCCAGTTCAGGGTTTACGGGCCCATCAAAAAGCAAGAACGGCTTAACGTTTAAAGTGAATCCGGGACCCGGAACCCTAAACCCTAAGCCCTTATCACAAAACGGGCGGCAGCCGGATGCCCTAAAGTGGAGGCATGCTTGAGGTTCACCTTCGACCCAGCACCTGGGTTGTACACGCACGGAAGTACGCATATTCTACAAAGAAGCTGTTTAGGGTTTAGGGTGTGAAGGGTTTAGCTTAGGCTGTTTCTACATACATGCATGCTTACATGCATGCATGCATACACACATACAGACATATATACATCTGCATATGGCTTTTGAGTTCTTAGAATATGTATTTGCATGTATATGTATATATATATATATATATGTATTTTTAAATATAGTTATAGTTTTTGCAGAGAGTTTTGGCTTAGGTATCCAGTAAAAACCTACAGCCGGTAGCAGGTGGCGCCTGGGGCTTCCGAGGCTTTTCCACGCTGACGCACGGCCTGGTGGGAGGTTCATGGGTACTTATAACCCCTATTATACTTTGTGGTGCTTTACTGTAACTTTAGATCCTTAGCCTTTTTGGGTTTATTGGGTTTCTTAGTAAGGCAGCTTAAAAAATAATTTATATCTACCCTCCTAAGTGCAGCCAAGTATAAATCTACTTCTAACCTACTTAGGGGACTTGAGGGGCTTATAAGTACAGTTATAATTGGGGTTATAAGTACCCTGAACCTTTCAGGGTTGTGGGCTTTGGGTTTTTTTGCGGTTTAGGGTTTGGGGTCTAGGGTTACCAGGGTTAGGGCTGCTTGAGGGGCCCAGCGGGCTGGGGCTTTGAGGTTTTAGTCAGCCCTAGCAGTTTGCCCTGAACACAGAAAAAGGCGCATCCCAAGAAACCGAACTCTAGACCCTGAGCCCTAAAACGTCGCAAGCTCTTCGAAGCCAAAAGCTCCCGCAGATGATATCCCTCAACCAACCCTAAACCCTAAACCCTCAACCCTAAACCCTAAACCCTAAACCCTAAACCCTGAGCAACTCTAGGACCCGGAGTAGGCCCTGATTCCCCCTTTTTTTAGGGTCTGGGGTTTGCCTTCTGATGCCCTAGGTTCGAGTAATTTGTACCGCACAAACCCAAGCCCTAAACCCTAAACCCTAAACGCTAAATCCATCGCTCTCCTTTCACTTATGGACCCGGCGGGGCTGTCTTGGAGTTCATGGGTGTTTACAAGTAGGGTCCTGAAGAAGGTCATAGTTCATGCCTTACTTCTACCCCCACTTACCCTGACGGCCCATTTCTAGTACTAAGAAATAGAACTAGTAGTCAGGTACCTAATAAAAAACAAGACTAAATAGGGTCTTTGGGTACCTAATTCCATAACAGTACTGCAAATGGACCCTCTGGGTTATGAACCTCCAAGTATGGCTTTATGTAACTCATAAAACCCTAAACCCTAAACTCTAAACCCTAAACCCTACCTGGAGGCTCATGGTACTTAGTAACTAATTATATCTGTACTTATAACCCACTTATAAGCCCCTTAAGTTCCCTAATATGGTTATAAGTACAGTTATAAGTACTGTTATAATCAGTTAATAAGTACCCTGAACCTCCAAGTGAACCCTACCTAAACCCTAAGCCCTAAGCCCTAAGCCCTAAGCCCTAAGCCCTAAGCCCTAAGCCCTAAGCCCTAAGCACACGAATCCTGGAGCCGAAGCCTCGGAAGAAGTCAGTGAAAAAGTCGGCCGAGGAAGAAGATCAGTGAGCTGCCCTCCGTCAAGAAGAAGGAGACAGGAGATGACCCAAGTCTGTTTTTGATATGAAGATGTTCTTGTGTTGGGTTTAGGGTTTAGGGTTTAGGGTTTGGGGTTTAGGGTTTAGAGTTTAGAGTCTAGGGTTTAGGGTGTAGGGTTTTGGAGTATCTTCGATGCAGTTGTATGATTACAGTAAGCCAGTACGGTTCAGGATTAAGGGAGATTGCAGGCCTGGTCTGTCTCTTCTTGCTTGAGTGTCGGGTGTGTCTCGCGGACAGCTGTCAGGCCTAGCTTGTGACTTGTCTTGACGACCCCTAAGGCCCTAGGGAAAAGTAGGCCCTGGTGCAGAGTCTGTTTTCACGAACCCTAAACCCTAAACCCTAAACCCTAAACCCTAAACCCTGAACCCTGAACCCTGAACCCTGAACCCTGAACCCTAAACCCTAACCCCCCACCCCCAGGTCAGAGGGGAAGCCTCCTTGTGCAGGATATTTCGGTGTCGAGTGGGCCATCGGCCGCAAGCCGACCGAAATGAATTCCATGGACGTCGAGCTTCCCAAGGACCCCAGCCGACCACCTTTCATGACAGTGGAATCTGACCCAACTTACTACTATTTGCTTAAGAACCCCAAAAGTCCCTTTATGTCCCTTAATAAGGAGGAATACTTTTTTTTATTTGTTCGGGGTTCTTAAGCAATCAGTAGTTTAGGGTCTAGGCAGGTTTAGGCTTTACGTGCGCCCTGATCCCTAAGCCCTCCAGCAACATGCTTCCGATGTCACGGGAGTGCTAGTCTACCAGGTGCTGATCTCAGTACCCGAAACCCTCAACCCTAAACCCTGGATTTGGGTTCAGAGGGCTGCTTTCTACTATTCAATCTCGGCCCTAAACCCTGCAATAAAGGCAGCGTTAGCGAGCAGCAGTGTGTTGGGACACGTCGCAGACGTACTTGTCATCGTCATCACTGTTGAAGATGGACACTTCTGAGTGTTGGGATCGAACTCACCTGAGCCCTGTAAACCACATCAGCCCCGATTTCATAAGGCACCCTATAAGCCCTACATGGGGGTTTACGAAAACAAGGGACCCTTAACATAGACCCCCAAAGACTAGGATTCCTTTAGAATAAGGACCCCAATAAGGCACCCCGAATTTCGTTTCCCCAGTATGTCCTTTCAGCCCCTCAAACACCCCATTGCGCACGCCGTTAACCCATGTGTCTACACTCTTCTGTATCAACCCATAGGCATCTCCAGATTTAAACTTTAATCCCTAATTCCTACACCCTTCCTAAACCCTAAACCCTAAACCTTAAACCCTAAGCATAGATGGGCATCTCAAGGCGTAAACACACTGGACAAACCAGGAGCCTTTCGACCCCAGGCCGTACAAGGTGCACGTTCGCAAGCGTCTCGCCTGCCAGGTTTTTGATTGGGGTTTAGGGTTTAGGGTTTAGGGTTTAGGGTTTAGGGTTTAGGGTTTAGGGTTTAGGGTTTAGGGTTTAGGGTTTAGGGTTTAGGGTTTAGGGTTTAGGGTTTAGGGTAGCGTTGAGATCATGTGCTGAGGTATCCTGGCATCGTCAGTGGCTTGGGCGCCGAGTACTTCTACCGCGAAGACCAGCGCAACCCACTCACGTGGCTTGCTCAGTAGGGTTTAGGGTTTAGGGTTTAGGCTTTAGGCTTTAGGCTTTTGGGTTTAGGCTCAGAGGGCAGACGTGTCCCGTGCCAAAAGATCCACTGCAAAAGTGAACTCAAGCTCCACTTGCAATACGTAAGAGGTGCCTACGAAGCGCCTAAGAATCCCCCAAAAAAAACAAATATATTCTGCCTTAATATGGGCAAGACCGGGGTTTTTGTCTTTAGCTTTTTGTGGGTTCTTCAGCGACTTGTTTTAGCGTGCAAGAGCTCCACTAAGCCATCGTCTGCTTCTAGAGGAGGACTCCATCGCCCACGACAGGAAGCAGGGTTTGTTTTTTCTGTTTTTGGTGAGTGTACATAAGGTTCCTTTTTGATATTGGTGAGTGTATATACCGGGTGTCCTTTTGGGGGTACAAGAAAATAATATAGACCCTACTTCACATGTGTTTTTTCATCCTCCCACATCTGCATCTCACCTCGGTGGCCCAGTCGTGCCCTTTGCCCTTTTGTTTTGGCTCCGGGCTCCCTTTATAGAGTAGCCAGCTCAAGAAAGGGGTGCCCTTGGAGTGAGGTGGTTGCTGGGCTAGTAAGTATCCCTACACACTATCCTAAACCCTAAACCCTAAACCCTAAACCCTAAACCAGCTTTTGTTGCAATCATCCGGGACGCCGCCCAGCAAACTCACAGGATTCGAAGCTCAGCCTGCCATTTCCGATGTCTTCACGTTCGTTACCATGAACCTGGCAAATTTAAACTAAACCCTAAACCCTAAACCCTAAACCCTGAACCCTAAACCCTAAACCCTCAAAAACTTTCGAGCTCTAAACCCTAAACCTTAAGCGCCAAAGTGTCCCCCAAACAAAAATGCTCGGGGCCTTCTTTGCCGGGCTTTGGGGGCTGAGGCGGCTACTATTTGCTGAAGAACCCCCCCCCCCCCCCCCCCCCCCCCAACGAATGAATAATATTCTTCCTTATCAGGGAAATATAGGGATTTGAATCAGTCATTTGTCGGGGGTTCTGAAGCAAATCCTTGGAGCTTCTGAGCTTTTATGGGGCGAGGTGCATTCCGAGCGCCCCCCACCCCCCGGGTTTAGCCCAAGCCCTCAACCCCCAGAATCCCAACTTCAAAATGGCGGTTTAGGATTTAGTGTTTAGGATTTAGGGGTTAAGGTGCCGTCCCTTCTTGTAACGTGCCCAGGTACTATCACCTTCGCTGTCCAGCAGCTGGCGATACGGCTGCTCGCCTGCATTTTGCACAAGACACGTGGATTTGTCGCTGCTTCCCATCGCCCAACCCCTGAGAGGCGTCCAGGCCTAGGCTATTAAGGTTGTTTAGGGTTTAGGGTTTAGGGTTTAGGGTTTAGGGTTTAGGGTTTAGGGTCGGACCAAAGAGAGGGGTGATGCGATGGGGAGTTCTCTGAATTATGGGCTTTTTTGGGTTGCACCCTGGGGCGAAGCCTTGGTCAGGGTGAACTTTTGTTGTTTGGGTTTAGGGTTTAGGGTTTAGGGTTTAGGGTTTAGGGTTTAGGGTTTAGGGTTTAGGGTTTAGGGTTTAGATTTCTTATTACATGCGTTCGCCGTACCCGCTGAGATGCCTTGACTATCCTCAGAAAAGGGGTTTAGGGCTTAGGGTTTAGGGTTTAGAGTTTAGAGTCCCTTAGAGCTTGGCCAGCGGCTACTTCGGGGTGCTAAGTCGGGCTTACAGGGCTTATGCATCTCGTTCTCTCCCACCCTAGGCTAAACCCTAAACCCCAAACCCTAAAGTGTAAACCCTGATAACCTAGGCAGGCCCTTGGGGGATGCAGTGTATTTTTCCATTTAAAATGGGTTTAGGGTTTGGTTTAGGGTTTAGGGTTTAGGGTTTAGGGTTTAGGGTTTAGGGTTTAGGGTTTAGGGTTTAGGGTTTAGGGTTTAGGGTTTAGGGTTTAGGACCCCAAAATTTGGGGTCCAAGAGGATCATATTCAGGACGGAGGGTTTGCAGGGCCATCCTAGTAAGGCGTCGATCAGGTCCTGGTGGGTGCAACCGATGCACGGGCCGCACAAGCCCGGACCATCGACAACTACGTCAAGGAGCCATGCTGCATCTTGGGATGTTCGGGATGTATACTAACAGTCCTGAATGGGGATTACAGTACCCCCGATTGCAATCCCTATTAAGGACTGCTAGTAGAAGGGGGGAACATCCCGAGCTAGGTCTTTGAATGTCCGTGGTGGGGGAATTGGAGGGCTTGGGAGGGTTTAGGGATTGTGGTTTTATAGGCTGTAGCTCTAAAATTTGAGTTTGCAGGGTCATAGGGTGGAAACCCCCTACACGCTCGCCCCCGCCTTGTGAAACCCAAACAGTTTAGCCCAGCCATAAAGACACCCTAAACCCTCAACCCTAAACCCTAAACCGAAACCCTAAACCCTAAACCAGATGCCCGGCAAGGATGGCCGGGCTTCCTTTCTTCTATGTGCCTTTCGTCGGATTCTACCTTCGACCCCTAAGGTTGCACCCCTTGGGTTTCGGGACCCTCTTTGAAGATCCTCTGAGGCAATTTCTTACTGGCTCAAAACCCAACTTTTCAACTTTTGGGCTTCTTATAAGGTAGTTTGTTCTGAAAGTTTGAACTTTTATTTCCTTGGGTTTTGGGCCAGTAAGATTTAGGGGCCATCTTAGGCGTCCTTAGGGTCCGAGTATGACTTCCCGAAGTCTTACAAGAGCCTTTTGCAACTCATCCCCTCATAGTTCCTATAGGGTTTATGCAGAGTTTCCTGCAGTATGGGGTTTCGAAATGTAGGATCCCGTTTATAGTAACGACCCCATAAGGTACCCCTAATATCGTAAACCCCCCCATACCCCTGTAGAAGAACATTACAACCCACTCGAAGCAAGCAGTCTCCTATATCAGGTGCTCACCCATGCTTGCCGAAGAGGCTTTGGATGGTGCGTGGTACATGATAGGGTTGGTAGAGTACTCGGTATAGACCCTAAACTCTAAACCTTAGAGGGATTCTAGGGGGTCCTAGAGGCAAGTTCATTGGGCTCTGGTGTTAGATCTCTACTAAACCGGAGACCCCAAACCTCTCATCACCAGGAGAGGACGCGCGGTTTTGCGGTGCAACTTATCCTCGAAGGTCGAGGCAACGGGACTCGCTAAACCCTAAACCCTAAACCCTAAACCCTAAACCCTAAACCCTAAACCCTAAACCCTAAACCCTAAACCCTAAACCCTAAACTGGCAAGCTTGAGCCGAAAGTACACGAGAAGGGGGGTAGGCCTTCAGGGCTGCTTGGTGACTGTGATAGAAACCCCTGAGCCCTAAACCCTAATCCCTAATCCCCAAGCCCTAAACCCTAAACCCTAAACCCTATACCCTAAACCCTAAACCCTAAACCCTAAGTCAAGCTTTCCTGCCATTCAGTGAGCTTCGGTCGATCTAGACGTGGCTTTCTGCAGGTGTCAAGGCCTACTTCGAGCCCAAGTATCCCTTCCTCAAGGTGGGGGGGAGCTTCTTTCTAAGGGTAGTTATGTGGGCCCCTTCATGCGGTTTAGGGTTTGGGGTTTGGGGTTTAGGGTTTCGGGTTTAGGAGAGTTACACGGCCCCTGAACACGATCCCTTACCTCCTTGAAAGGGCTCTGAAGCATGGGCCCTTGGGTTGTTTTCAGAGACCATACTAATCAAATACCCTAAGATTCTTGGAAGGACAGCCCAGGATGGATTTCAGGGGTTTGGGTTGAGGGAATCCTCCCAAGGCTCCGTTTAGGATTTAGGGTTGAGGGTTGCTCCGGCTAGGATTTAGGGGGTTTGGTTCTGGAGGCTGGTTTGGTTGTAGCGTGGAGGGTGGAAGATGTGGTATACTACTATTTGCTTAAGAGCCCCAGCACAATGAAGGATGATAATCCCTATATATATATATATATACATACATACATACTCCCTTGGAAAGGAAGCTTTTTTTTGGGGGGTGGGGGGTGGGGGGTGGGGGGTGGGGGGTGGGGGGCGGGGGATGGGCGGTGGGGTGTCAGGAATCCTTGACCATCCCAGAACCTAAAGCTCTAAACCCTGAATCCTAAACCCTGTATCAACCATAAACCCTGATCCCTCAACCCTAAACCCTAAACCCTAAACCCTAAACCCTAAACCCTAAACCCTAAACCCTAAACCCTAAACCCTAAACCCTAAACCCTAAACCTAAACCCTAAACCCCGCCAATTCGACTGGCGACTTGACCGGTTCTTTTAGATGCCACTCGTGCGGCCGGGGTCGAAGAGGGGCGCAGCTGTAAAGTAAGGAACCTAGGGTTTCCTTACTGTGTATGTATGTATATGTATGTATGCATATATTTATATGTATATATATATATACATGTCTATGTCCATTTACATACATATATATATGTACACATATTACATGTATTTATCATCTGTTAGGATTTGTTTATGTAAGTTTGTCCCCCCCCCCCTCCCAGGGTACTGCAACCTCTGCCCCTTTTACCATCTCCCCCACGAGGATGGGCCAAAATCCCCACAGAAAGTCAGCCCAGTACAGGGGATTAGGGTTTAGGGTTTAGGGTTAGGGTTTAAACAGGGTTTAGGGGATTCTGGTTGGGATGTTCCCCCCCTTATACTGTCAATCCTTAATAGGGATTCTAATCGGGGTTACTACAATCCCCATTACGGACTGCTAGCATAGCGGGGAACATCCTCAGATTCTAGGGTGTAACGACCCATCCTGGGAAGGCGCGAAGCCTTATCATCTTCAAGGGACTACTTAAGGAGGGGCCCTTATAAAGGGACCTTAGGGGTTATTTGGGGGTTGTTTAGGTGCTACTTAGGCATAATAGGGACTAAAGAAGGTATGTATAGGGGTTATATAGGGGACTAAGATTAAGGGTCCCCCCTAGGGGTCCCTCAACCCTAAACCCTAAACGTAAACCCTAAACCCTAAACCTTGAACCCTAAACCCTATAAACCCTAAACCCTAAACCCTAAACCCCCTTAATCATCGCTGCTGCTTGGGACGTGATCGCAGGTCCGGCTTGGTGTGGGCGCGAAAGTCAAGGACCTGACCGAGTACGTCACGCGAGATCCCGACATCCTGGTGCCGGGGTTTGGGGCTGTAGGGCGTCGGATTTGGGGTTTCGAGTGGGTTTAGGGTTTGTGGTTAAGGGTTAGTTTAGGGTGGCCTTCTACCCTCAAGCCCTACAGCTTCGTAAGCTCCAAGCCCCGCACTCGAAACCCTCAAAATTCTCGGATTCTGGTCATAGGGTCCGATAAGACCAGAGAGTCTTGCATTCATAGGGTCCAGCTGGTGGTAGTTTGTGTTTTGTAAGGAGATTGAAGGAGGTTGGTACAAAGGGCGTGCGCATCATAGTTATAGAAGGACATATTATTGAGGCGCGGTCAAAATCACCGCTTCCTTATTTTAGTAGAGGGGGTAGTTGTTGCAGCAAAACGCCGAGGATCGATAGGGGATGCGCTAAAATGATAGGGTTATTTGATACGATAGGATACAACTCCGGTAGGTGAAAACATGGAAAACGATAGGGCGCGCGCAAATGCAAAACCAAACAAGGCTTAAACAAGTAATTTTGACGCCGACTCATATGAGATTATAAGGGGCTATTCAGTCGGAACTTGGAGCTTTGCTTGCATGACTGTGCATGATTGTGATTGTATCATATATAGCCCCCCGCCACTATAAATAGCATACCAGGAGATGAAGGGTACCGACTTGCCTATTTCCCGATGAAGAACTTGTACGCAAACCCTATGCCCATGAATTATACGCCTTGAAAGCATTTAAATAAAACAAAAGTTAGAGAAAAACACAAACGAGGCTTCAAGAATCCTTCGCAGATCTAAGGGTAGTTTCATGCGCCGGCCCTTACCTCCCTGATGTATGGGCCCTTAATTTGCATAGGGTCCCCGTGTAAGGACCCATACTCAGGGACCATGTAACCACCAGAAGAGCAGAATCACATACCTGAAAGGATCCTGCTGAGCCTCTACCATAACTTTACAGGGAGCAGTGTTTTTTTATTGGCAGATGCGAGGATATGTAAGCATATTAATCAACAAATATAATGGTTACAAGGGGATAGTACTGGCTAAGCCCTAAACCCTAAACCCTAAACCCTAAACCCTAAACCCTAAACCCTAAACCCTAAACCCTAAACCCTAAACCCTAAACCCTAAACCCTAAGCGCTTTCAGGTGCATGTCAGCAAGGCTGGTGACCTCGTGGTGGTGCACGGTCCAAACAAGGTTCCCTGCAATATTTGAGCGTTTAGGGTTTAGGGTTTAGGGTTTAGGGTTTAGGGTTTAGGGTTTAGGGTTTCTGGTTTAGGGTTTAGGGTTTCGGGAACCTTATAACTATAAACCGTCTTTTCGCCCTGAAAACCCTGTAAACCCGAAAAGCCCTACACACCCTGGAAGCCCTATAAACTCCAAAAGCCCTTAAACCCTGCAAGCGCAACAAACCCCAAAAATGCGCCATAAAGCCTGCGAGCCCCATAATCCCTACAAGCAACAAACCCCGCCAGTTAGGTCCGGCAGGGTTGAATTCAATTTAAGGGGTATCATGAGGGACCCCAGAAAGGGGCCCTTAATCTTATTCCCCTAACAAAAAACTCTGTATATACCATATATTGTCCCCTTACATAAATTGTAAGGTCCCTTGCAAAGGTCCCTCCTTTAGTCCCTTTTGACATGTGCGCTTCTGCGGGCCTTCAGTTGCAAGCAATACCTTCGCCTCACAAGTGTCTGGGTTCTGGTTAAGAGTGTTAAAGGTTTAGGGTTTAGGGTTTATTTGCGCTTTAGGGTTGAGGGTGTATGATAAGTTACAATTACTCGGCTCTTTGCTTAAGAAGCCAAGAAAATGAAAAAACAGCTTTCGTTATAAGAACAGTATGAGGATATTTATCTTCCATTGTTTAGGTGTTCTTAAGTTAACAGTGTGTGTGTGTGTGTGCATGCATATACATATATATTTATATTTATTTATTTATTTATTTATTTCTTTCTCTCTCTCTGTCTCCCTAAACCCTAAGCCCCAAGCCCTAAAACCCAAACCCCGCAACATGTAGTACAGTCCGCACTACAGTCCGCCTACGTATTACGGTAGCTGAATTCATCGGATCTGCACGAGCTCGAGAGTTGCTCTGGGAAGGGATGGTTTGCCCTCCAAGCCACTTTAAGGCTTACTGTTGCCCTTGGTGGTTCAGGGTTTAAGGTTTAGGGCTCAGGGTTTAGGGTTTAGGGTTTAGGGTTCAGGGCTCAGGGCGTAGGGCTTAGGGCTTAGGGCTTAGGGCCCAGGGCTTGGGGCTTAGGGCTTAGGGCTTATAGGGCTCAGGGCTTGGGCTTAGGGCTTAGGGCTTCGGGCTTACACCCTTGGCTGACCTTGCCCTAAAAAAAGCCGCTGGCAGGAGCGAGTGGGAACCTTGGCATTTCGCCTGTACAAGAAGCTGACGCCAATCCTGATGCCCTACACCGGCAAAGGCAGGTTTTGGTGCTTTCCGAAAATTCGGGGTCCTTATTCGGGGGCCCTTACCATAAGGGAATCCTACCATCCTGCTATTTGGGGCTCTGTTTTAGGGGTCCCCCATATTCGTAAACCCTCTTTTGGCAAACCCGAGAACCCAAAACCTTGTAACTGCAGCGCATTTCGCCTCATGCGTGCCGCAACAAATTAAATATGCCAAAAGCACAGTCAAGCAGGACACCACCCTCAGTTCCACCAGAGGCTACTGTAGCTAGTCTGAGGGCGGAAACGAAAATAGCATCAGCCAAGGACCTCTCGGTCCCTAACCCCTCCCTTCCACATGTATATGTAAACCCAAAATAAGGTCAATTTTGGGTGTCGAGCCCAAAGTTTGGGGTACCAATTCTAGTGCCCAGCCCAAAATGAGGTGGATTTTGGGTGCCGGCCCTGATGTGGGGTACCAACCCTAATTCTCCAGCCCAAAATGTAATCATTTTTTTGGTACCAGCCTTAATGACCAGCCCAAAATAAGGTCAGTTTTGGGTGCCGGCCACCCAAAACAAAAAAAGGGGTCCATTTTGGGGTGCCGGCCCCCAAAATGGGGCACCAACCCGAGTGCCCAAAACAAGGTCAATTTTGGGCACCAGCCCTGATTTGGGTCTCAATGGTTGGCATCAGAAGCTGTTTTGCTTTTGAGGCCCGCTGCGCCTTGTGCTTTGCCGAGTGTTTGGGCGCTAGGGTATGGAGCCCGGGGTTCATGGATTGAGTGAACTTTACATACTCTTAATGATATAGGATTCTGTGGGCGGGATGGTATTTCTCCAAAGCTTGATAATGGCTTGACAAGAGAAAGCTAGAACGTGAGGTGCTGAAGCCTAAACCCTAAACCCTAAACCCTAAACCCTAAACCCTAAACCCTAAACCCTAAACCCTAAACCCTAAACCCTAAACCCTTGCGAAGGGCCTCGGCTCCGCACATGGCCAGGTGCACACTTCGCCTTCCACGCCGTGAAGCGAAAGCCGATGCGCAAGAAGTAGCTGAGCACTTCCACAGAGTTTAGGGTTTAGGGTTTTGGGTTTTGGGTTTAGGGTTTAGGGTTTAGGGTGTTTGCGTAGGGCTTACATAGGCCCTGTAGGGCCTAGGGTTTAGGATTTCAGGTTTCGGGTTGAAAGTTATTGTGTACGGAGGCTTCATAGAGGATGATTTTCGAAGGGCTTCTCGACCTGTTTAGGGTTCAGGGCTTAGGGTTTCAGCACGTTTCACCTAGTAGATTCTCTGGTGGATGCAGACGCCGTCAGAGGCGTTCGTGCAGATTGTCACAAAACAGTAAAGTCCCAAACCCTAAACCCTGAAGTCCGAGCTTCGGTCTTGTGAGTAAGCCCACATCCGAAGGATAGACCTTGTTTCCAAGAGTGTCCTTAATCTAGGAGTTGAGGTCGCCCTCAATTCCCTGAACCTGCAGAAGAAAACCGGAAGCTCGTGAAATTCAAAAATTGTAGGGAGGGAGAGGAGTTGGGGCAGCCGCAAGTCCCTAAACCCGAAACCCCTAAACCACCAAACCCTAAATCTTAAAACCCTAAACCCTCGTGAGTGTAGGTAGAGAGTGAGTGAGGAACGCTGGCCCGACTTCATAAGGGTTGAGCGTTTAGGGGTTTATAGGGGCTGAGGGTTGAGGTCTGGGGGTTTGTGAACAAGTACGTACAGCTCTGGTGACCCTAAACCCTAAACCCTAAACCCTAAACCCTAAACCCTAAACCCCGGATCCCCTTGTAGGTACCTTGGCCCACCCAAAACAAGCATGAAGGGGAGCCCAACCCAAGCCAGCCGTTCGAAGCAGCCCAGGGCATCCCCCGAAGATGCGGACCTAAACTTTCAGCCATTAAATTAGGGTTTAGGGATTGGGGTTTAGGGTTTAGGGTTTAGGGTTTAGGGTTTAGGGTTTAGGGTTTAGGGTTTAGGGTTTAGGGTTTAGGGTTTAGGGTTTAGGGTAGTAGAGAAACCTTTAAAATTTGGGTATTCTAGTCCCAATAAAATCCTTCAATTCCCCCAGGTTCCTGGACAACTAAGTTAGGCGCAATGCTCGGTGCAAGTGGTTGAAGTCCTGAAGGTTTAGGCTTTTGGGCTTCCAGTGCTCTAGGGCCTTACAACCCCAAACCCTAAAAGGCTTCAAGGGTTTAGGGTGCTTAGGGTTTCGGCTTCAAGGCTGGTACTTCTAGTCATTCGGGCATACGGTGGCCGAGGGAGAGATTCACCCCAGACTGTGTTGTGGATCCAGGATGAAAATCCTTTAGGGTTTAGGGTTTAGAGTTTAGGGTTTAGGGTTTAGGGTTTAGGGTTTAGGGATGAAAATCCTTTCTTGAATGTACTTGGGGGCTCAGGCTCTAAGCTTGTCGAACCACACATCCTGAAAGGCTTAGACCACACAACCCTGAAACCCTGAAGGGCGCCTAAACCCCTAAACCCTAACCCTGAAACCCCCACTCTGGCCCTAAATCCGAAACCCTAAACCCTAAACCCCAATCCCTAAACCCTAAACCCTAAATCCGAAACCCTAAACCCCAAACCCTAAACCCTAAACCCCAAACCCTAAACCCTAAACCCGAAACCCATAAAGCACGGATCGAAACCCCCCCCCCCCCCCCAAATGATCCCTGCGGCCCATGCTTGGCGGCTCGAAGGCGTCCCTTGTCCCCAGGCCCAGGGTTTGGGGTTTAGGGTTTAGGGCTTAGGGTTTAGGGGTTAGGGTTTAGGGTTTAGGGTTTAGGGTTTAGGGTTCAGGGTTTAGGGTTCAGGGTTCAGGGTTCAGGGTTCAGGGTTCAGGGTTCAGGGTTCAGGGTTAGGGTTCAGGGTTCAGGGCTTAGGGATATTGACGGTTATTGAGGCTTCGTGCCAGGACTTTCAGGGCTTTGGCTTTTTGTGTTAGGGAGTTCTAGCTGCTGGCGCTGTTGTTTTTGTGTTCTGGCGTTTTCGGAGCAGATGTGCTAGCTTGCCGTTGGTCGGAGTTATGTATAATTCTCGAGTTGCCAGGTTTTTTTGAGTTTGCGCCAGTGGAGGCTTTCGATGGCTGGAGGTTTTTAGGTGTTAGTCTGAAGCCCTAGACCCTAAACCCTAAACCCCAAACCCTAAACCCTAAACCCTAAACCCGAAACCCTAAACACTCCAAGAGGGCCAGGTTCTTGAACTCTTACCACCAGCATTGCAGCCAGCAGCTGGAACACGGAGCTGGAGACTGCAGCAGAGAGTTTAGGGTTTGGGGTTTAGGGTTTAGG